GTCTCTTTATTCGCTTGTGCCTTTCTTATTTCCGTCTCAATTCTTACCACAGAGTCTATTGTGCTTCTTCCCTTCCTAAAACCACTCTGACAACTAGCCAATAATCCTCTTTTTTCTATGGCATGGGTCAGTCTATCTACTATCATCCTTTCCATAATTTTACATAGATTAGAAGTTAAAGCTATCGGTCTGTAACTAGTGGGTTTTGTCGGATCCTTACCAGGTTTTCTTATCGGAATCACTACCGCTTCTTTCCAGGCATTTGGTAATTTTCCTTCCTTCCATACTTTATTATATACCTCAAGCAACTTCAACTTTGATTTTTCTCCCAAATGTTTTAACATGATATAACAAACTTGATCTTTCCCTGGAGATGAAGGTTTTGCTGTTGTTATTGCTCTTACCATCTCTGCCAAAGTAAATGATTCGTCTAATTCATTTTTGGTATCTTCCTTCCTATTTAATGTATGAATATGCTGATTAAACGTAATCAATCTTCTCCTTCTTCCTTCTTCTTCCAAATTTTTTGAACTATGTACCTTTATAAATGATTTTGCCATAATTTCTGCTTTCTCTTTGTTGGAAACTGCTGTTACCTCTTCATATGACATAACTGGGTAATCCCACTGTCTCCTGTCTCCCCCCATCCTTTTAATCATTCTCCAGACTTCTCCCACTGGAGTAGATCTTATCTACTCAAATGAACCATAAAGCTAAAAGGCTGCTACCCACGTCATCAGTGACGTTACCGTAATGACAGTGAAATAACGAACACTTCATATTTTAACTGTTTGTTTATTGAAATATGTAATTGTATGGTCATTACATTATACAGTCCTGATCCGAATAACTTGGAATAGGGAATAAACATTAAACAATTAATATGCCTTCATTGAAAACGTATTGATTCGGATAATATAAATTGCGCGAAATTCCGATTAATTACGGTACTTTCGTTTACAACAAGAAAATCGTGTTCTAAATCAAACATAATAAAACGAATCATTTTATTGTCAATAAAGTGATTCCATTCAGAGAGGAGCTCATTTGGTTATTTCATTAGTTTATTAGCAATTTCCTGGATTTTATTAAACATTTAAAATTCAATTTGTTTGGTCAAGTAGTTGAAGTAGGAATACTTTTTAAAATAAAAGCTATCTTTTACGCAATCCTATGTTACATTTAATTTATTCTACACAATTATCAAACACCTTAAAAAACGGTCACTTTCAGTTAAAATAGTAAAGTAGGGATAATTATTTTTTTAAATTACGTTTTCTATCTTTTATTCACACATGTTTCACTTTATTTATTAATTTTCTTATTTTCCACATTTTTCACAATATGAAATAGCTTTAAACAGTAATAAATAGACTTCAATATTTTAGTATAGTCAAGTGGGGATCATTATTTGTTTAATAGTAAATACAGACCTTAATTAATTAGTGGAGTAGAAAATCATGTTAAACTAATTCGAAACCACAACAATACCGTCTATTAAAATGATAGTTCATCCAAAAATGAAAATTTACTCTCCCTAATGGTGTTCCAAACCTGTATGAGTTTCTTTCTTCTGTTGAACACAAAATATATAAAAGAACAAAGTCAAGCAGTTTGATAGGCTTGGCAGTATTGACTAGCCTGGCTCCGCCCTCCTACGCACTTCCGCTCAATTTTATTTTCCTTCAGTACTACGTCTGGGATTGTGCTGTAGACTTTGGTTTCCAGAAATAATTTTTTTACCGGTCCAATCAGCGAACAGAGGGAGTGGCTGAGAACGATGACGTTGATGTAGCGCGTCAGTTTGAGTTGGAGTTCAGTAATGGCAGCGGAGAAAGACGTGAGAAAATCTATTCGGTCCGTTGTTGCAAAACTGCCGAATATCCAGAAGTTAAAGCCCGAGCAAGATCAATGTTTGCTAAGTGTTGTTGGTGGCCATGATTCGGGAAAAGTTTAATTTTCCAGCTCACTCCGCTAGTGGTGAATGAGTTAGCTAAGGCGAACGATAGGATGCAAAGCCGATAGTTGTTGTCGTCTCTTCTTGTTGCACTAATGGAGGACCAAGTGAGGGAGGCAGAAAGGTTAGGAGTTGGTGCTGGGCAGCTCGGCGTGCACGATGATCACTGTAACGTTACAGCATTTGCGGCAGATCCGAAACGACCGCAGCGGCGTATTGTTAATGATTACACCCAGCTTCGACAGTTGATTGAATACATCACTGTCATTAGTGTCAAATATACATTTAGAATTTAGAATTGTTCCTTGAACTCTTAAATTCGATGAACAAAACATGCAGCTCTCGTTGACAGACATCTTATTCTAAACATAATCCTCTGATCATTCGGACTTGTTTTTTTTTATTGCTTAAAACAATACACAAGTAATAACAGAAAACATTATACAAAAACAAACAAAAAATAATAATAAAAACAAAACAAAAATAAAACAGTAGGGGGATAATATAAAATAAACATGAACAAGTTAAGAGAATTACATGACACTGAAAAAAGGAAAATAATTACAAACAGATAATGTTTTTAAGGCTTTTTTTGTTCTCAGACAACTTAATTGAAAAGAGGTATTTTTAAAATTCTTTCACAAATATAAGAAAGAGAGGTTTAGCATTTAGATATTTAGATTTATGAATATGGAATTCGGACTTGTTCTTTCCAGCCGGTTTCGGCGCATGACATACGTCACGACCACACGTTAGCGATTGGCTATGGCAGATCCTGAGTGACGCTGGGCAGATCCAATAGTTTTGAACTTTAACAGAGAACCCGCCTACAAGGAAGTAAACGTTTCTCAATGGAGCGAGGCCAGACTCTCTGTACAAATGAAATGTACGAGAGTCTGGTAGAACCAGGCTAAGTATTGACTTCCAGAATAGGAAAAAAATACTATGAAAGTCATGCCCACCGTCAACTGTCTGGTTACCGGCTATTTAAGAATATATTATCTTTTGTGTTTAACAGATGAAGTAAACTCATATAAGTTAGCTTTGAAGGAGGTTGAGTAGAAGATGACAACATGTTCACATTTAGGATAAAAAACTTTACCTAATAAAATAAAAAACACTCGTGCATTTTTAAAACATTTCTCATTGATTCATTTTAGTAAAGTCTGTTTTTCACCAATTTAATCAGTCTCCGTAGAGACCGTCAAAAATTGCCAGTGCCGACTATATTTCAAGTCGTCACGGCGGGGTATTGGGTAAAGTTTTCAATTAGCAATAATCGCGCCTCGGATAAACCTCATAGGCTACGATACTGCCACTGCGCAAAGCTGACGTTTTAACTGCCAGAGAGGGCAACTCATCGAACAACACAGGAGTTTCATCAACGGTAAGTGTGTTTACTGTTCCCTATCGCGCGAACAGGGTCGCAGTGGACTGGGATATGTAATCGAAATGCTGCAACAAAAGTAAGTCATAAAAAATATGCGTTTTTATTTACGTTTTGAACAAAAATATAGACTATTGGTTACTCTCGCGCAGTGCATGATGGGATATACAGCAGTTTTTAAGCACACGCGGAATAAAGTGCCTCACATTCTTTACGAACATACGTTTTGACATACATGCACAAGCGTACATAAGTCATTTTTCTCTGCAGTCAGTGGTAGTGCAATGCAGTGATCCCTCGTTTCTTTATCACATTTATAATGTGCAACCTTGCTTTTATTGTCAAAACTGCAAGTGACCACCAGAGGGCGGTATTTACTCTCTTAAAACAATTATTCCCCATTGACTATAACAAAGCTGGCAAAGCTGAGCAAATTTTATAAACAATAGTTAAAAGCGAATTTAACATCAAATTCGCCGGTAAAGTGGGACAAATTGTCCTTCGAGTTGTTGCAGATGATGATCCATTAGCTTGCAATTGGAATTTCATGCCTAACGTTAACTTACCTATATAAAAATGTTGGGTACAATATAAAACCTGGTTGTATGTATCTTCATATCGTGTGATTATTCTAACAATATTATACTGAACGTACGTTATAACACGTTTAAGCAGTTCAGAGCGTTAACTTTTGGTCCATCATCCTCACTAAACATTCGACTTAGCCAGTTGTTCTTAATTATACACAACACAAACATCAAGCAAATTAACATCAACAGTCGTCTGATGTTTACCCGCCTTACTCTTAGATAATCGACGTTTGAGATGCTCTTGCTAAACGCAGTGAGGAAGTTTGAGGAAAGTCGTCTACCGTTTACGTCTGTAATTCCACAGTACACGCACACCACCAGAGGTCGCCACACATGCAGTTTTACCAGTTCACCACCAGAGGCCGCCACACATGCAGTTTTACCAGTTCACCACCAGAGGCCGCCACACATGCAGTTTTACCAGTTCACCACCAGAGGCCGCCACACATGCAGTTTTACCAGTTCACCACCAGAGGCCGCCACACATGCAGTTTTACCAGTTCACCACCAGAGGCCGCCACACATGCAGTTTTACCAGTTCACCACCAGAGGCCGCCACACATGCAGTTTTACCAGTTCACCACCAGAGGCCGCCACACATGCAGTTTTACCAGTTCACCACCAGAGGCCGCCACACATGCAGTTTTACCAGTTCACCACCAGAGGCCGCCACACATGCAGTTTTACTTGTTCACCACCAGAGGTCACCACGAACACTTTAAAGTTTCACCAGCAGGAATCAGCATCACAATCATTCTTACATGCAAGTTTCACCTAATAGTCAGTTGGTCACAGTTTCAGTAACTCTACATGTTCACTGTTTTGCTCTTGATTATTTTCTTGTATCATTTCAGCTTTATTGATAAACTTAATTCATGCATTAGGTTACATTCAAACTAATTGAAATAAAAATCCCAGAGGAAACCAGATGATTTATTGAGCACGTACCATTTATTACAGAACAAATGAAAAACTGTCAAGTTTAATTAAGTGCGAACCATATTGTCATCGTCCATAGTACAATGGTGTGATTATTAGCTACTTAATATGCTCTTTGAAATAACACATTATTTGAAGATCAACAATTATAGAAAACCATCCATTATAGTGTCATAAATGCCTCACGTTGCAACATCATATATGATCAAAGAACAGAAGAGAACATAGAAAAGAGCATGACAAGGACTTAAAGAAAGACAGATGAAAAGTGCTAGCAAGGCCATTTGTCATGTGACAGCCAGATTTGGTCCACCCTCGGGGGTGAGGAACTGCACTTTGGGCACGGCGAGTGCCGAATTGTTGCGGCGCATGGAGTTGCCCTTGCGCATGGAGTTGTTCCGCCGCATGGAGTTCCTCTTGCGCAAGGAGTTCTGGTGCGACAGCTCGCTCTTCTGGAGCGTCTGGATCAGGATGGAGGGCTTCTCGTCCAGCTCGCGGGCGCTGCACTGCGGCGTGGCCACTTTGACCGTGTTCCCGAACTTCGAGTAGTCCACCGAGTACACGCCCTCTTCCTCGGTCACTATAGGCAAGAAGCGGTGGCCCCACTGGATCTCCTCGGTCACGTACGAGGTGCGAGCCTGAGTGGTGATGCCCGTGGTTTCCACAACACCTTCCAGGATTACGATGACCTCCAGGTCGCTACACTGAAGCTCCATCGCTGAGAGATCGTACAGGGGACTGTCCTTATCGATGACGTGACAGATGATGAGAGGCGCTAACAGGAAGATGCTGTTGCTGGCCACCACGCTCTCGGTCTGGACGTCGATCTGGTGGATGGGTATGATCTCGCCCTCCGGCGTGGTGGTCTTTCGGACCACCTGGAGGCGCACGGCGGCATTGATGATCATGCTTTTGCGCAGGTCTCCCACCCGGATCATGAAGCACAGGCGGTTGTTGCGTACGGCGATGACGGCATACCGGCTGAAGATGAGGGTCTCGGCGCGCCGGTGGGACTGGGCCGTCTTCATGAAGATGCAGCCCAGCATGACGGCGTTTATTATCAGGCCGATGATGTTCTGTAATATGAGCATGGTGATGGCTGCCGTACACTGCTCCGTTATCATACGCCCTCCGAAACCTATCGTCACCTGCACCTCGATGGAGAAGAGGAAGGCAGAGGTGAAAGAGCTGGAAAAGATGAAGAGGAGTCACAGTTTAGGCTCCTAAAATGATTCAAATACGTTTCTATCTACATAGAACAAAACAACCTATAGTCATTTTTTTCTCTAACAATACCGTCCAATATCAGCACAACACACATCAATTGTCAATTTGAAATTTTGATTATTATTTTTGAATGTGTTTCTTTTTTTATAACTACATAATTTGACAAAGGAAATAAAGAATGACTGTCTAAACGTTGTAGTAGTAATATGTGTATATGTATGTATATATATATATATATATATATATATATATATATATATATATACATACATAATACATAGATTTAATAAACAGATGTATCTCAGTTTTATATTTTCAAAAACTTTCAAAAATGTATAAATGTAATAACATTTATGCAAGAATGAAGAAGAACGATTTCTTATATAATTCTTTATTCTTTTCATATTTCCTTTTCAACAAGATCTGCTTTATGCTGTACTTTTAAACTTTTAAACTTACTGCATTTACTAGAATGAACTTACAATACATCTGATTCCAGTCGTAAGTTTGCCATGATAAATCTGATAAGAGTTTTGATACATAGACATGTTTGGAAAGTCTGAACATCATTATAGTCTCCATCTGCACACACGTCAAGTCAGACTCTTCTGATGTCTGTCACTTAACATCATTTTGCCATTGACCAAAATGACTTGAGCACACTTACTTGACATTGGTGACACATTGGTCTACGACAGGTTTACTGTTTGTGTTCAGATCCCCGTGCGCAAACGCCACCAGCCACCAACCCATAGCGAACAGCAGCCAGCTGCACAGGAACGTCATGGTGAAAATAACCAGCGTGAAACGCCATTTGAGATCCACCAGAGTAGTGAAGACGTCCTGCAGGAATCTGCCCTGCTCGCGGATGTTCTTGTGGGCCAGGTTACACGCGCCACTCTTGGCGATGAAGCGCGCTTTGTTCACCCGGTCCCTGAACACGGGCTTGCGGGGAATCCGCGAGACGAGCGCCGGTAGCGCGAACTCCTCAGGAATGATGCTTTTACGCGGCAACATTATTTGGGCATGTCACTGCAGACGCTCAGGAATAAAGCCTCTCCAACGACTGTCAAACGCGCAGTTCCAGTTTAATAACCATCCTGCCCTCTAACTCTACTGAAGTAGCACAAACTAAAGTAAAGACCGTTTTTACGTCTATCAGTGTTCTTGTGTGAGTTCATACAATAAACTACATAAAGAGCAGAACACACCTCATGTACCGCTAAAAGTCTTCAAAAAAGTATCTTTATGATGATTGTGCAGCGCTCTTGACGCACATGGGCGGTACATGATGACTGTCCTGCTGCCTCCGAGAAACATTCACTCTGCAGAGGAGAGTCTTTTAAAACTTCTTTAAAAGATTGCATTATTTATATCCGCCCTTATTGTATAGACTGGAAAAAAGGAATATACTAAATCATACAAATCGAAGTAAAACGGAGTTCATACAGTAGGCCTAATAACATATTAACAAATATGATATAGGCCTATGCCAGTCACAAAATAATTGCAGGTCAGGACATTTAAAAAATGTGTAAATTTGTACAATTTGAATGTGTGTATCTACATAGTTCTGCAATGTGATGTAATGTTATTGTAAGAATGCAAGGGGTTTCAAACTGGGGCCCGGAGACTCCTAGAGGGCCGCAAGAGGGCGCTAGAGAGCAAATATATTTTACTTAATAAAAATATATATATTTTACCTTAAACTTTTAAACTTTTGTTTTAGGGTTAACAACTCGACACACATTTACTGAAATTCTTATTATTGTTTTATTCTGCTTTTCTGAGGACAGGTCGAAAACCATCAGATTAATCTTGAATGTGTTATACTGAAAGCCCTAGTAGAAAGCCCTTTTAACAGTAAGAAATAATAATAATAATAAAAATAATTATAAACAAATGCACATAGTTTGCAAAAATAATGATAATATTTTCTTCTATGAGACGCGCATCTTTTTAAGAATAGTTGAATCTGTCTATCTATAGTTTTCTTTGGCTTCAGTGCGTTTTCACAATTTAAAAGGCAGTTATTTAAATGTTATATTTAGCCTTTATTATGTTTCTCACACATTATACATGGGTTTCTGTATATAAGAATATATAGCTGCCTATATAATAAGAATGGGGCAAGATACCATATTTAGGAGCCTTTGGCATCAAAACGGAAAGTTCAATGAAATAGCGAAAATGTGAACAGAAGGGGGCGCTGTGTAGCAAACGATTTTCCTCTAAACAAGGGACTGAAAGGTAATACAAGATCTTTATGTGTGAGGGATAGGGTTGGGTATCGTTTGGGTTTTATCCGATTCCAGTACCTACTCGGTATTTTTTAAACGGTTCCGGTGCTTAAACGGTTCTTAAATCGGTACTTAAGAAAATGAAACCGCACACACTTTATCAAAAAATAATACCCTTTAATTTACAGGGCCAAACTGGACACAATATTAACTTAAATCTTTAAACAATATAAATACAAGTAACATATGGTAATAATAAAACCAATATAAAATAAAAATTCATATTTACATAATATCAAATGAAACAATATTGTATCAAACAATGTAATAATACTGGAGATTAATAGAGATTACTAGCAGGCAGAGCTGCCAACTCTCACGCATTGACCGTGAGACTCACGCAAATGACCCTTTTCACACAGAAAAATCGCGGACAAAGAGGACACGGACAGACAAGACCGAGAAGGTTACTTTTGATATGGAACAAATCCACAGCTGTCAGATTCTGTCAATATTTTTACGAGATTCACACAATAAATAACGTTTTGGCTCTTTGAAATGTGACAGATCGCTGTAGCGCGTCAGTTCAAACGGCACGTGATACAGCAGCCTACTTAGCTACGCAGCGTTGAGTGAACCTATGAAAGAGAACATCTCTGGTTACTGGTGTAACATATCTCTCAATAGGGAACGAGACGCTGCCAAGCTCCTCGCGCTGCCGACCAGCTTCCTTTTTCGGCAAAGAAATCTGAGGAGCAGATGGCGCGCGCGCGCCAACATAGTATGACGACGTAAGTGCGTCGATGCGGCGCCCGCGCCATCAGCCAATGAATTGGCTTGATTCTATATGGGATTCAGACTATCGGCACACCCAGAGGGCGTTCTGACACGTAATTTTACACGTGAAATGCAGCCAAACCTTGCGAGAAAGAGCGCGCTTGCGAGACAGAAGAGACTGTGCTCCAAACTGTGTAGCACACGCACGGCGGAGAGAGAGAGAGAGCGAGAGACCTTTTGTGTGTGCGTGTGTGCCTAATGAAGTTAGGCACCGAAATCAGGCACCGAAATTTTCGTTCTTATTCGGTCTGGTTACTACCGTTTACGTCGGAACCGGTTCCCTATTGGCACCGAGTTTCGGTACCCAACCCTAGTGAGGGATCTCATTAGTTTAATAATAAATCAATTTAATTATTTACATGTAGGCTTTTCAGTATGACCATCTATTGCTTGTTTGTAAAATTGAGCACCATGAACGTTAACTATTTTTGTAGGCCTATATGTTCCTTTTTACATTTTTGCTATTTGATGAATAGTTTTCTGTTTAGTAATTGTTTTACATTTTGCTTAAAAGTATGCAATGGCACTCAATAGAGATAAGTAAACACACAAAGCAAATTTTATTTTCATTTCATGTGTAAAAAAAGAAGTTAGGCACACATTATAATGCAGTTAAATGCTTATGGTACAAAAGCCATTTTAATTACATATGTACATTTAAAGCATTCCATCATCATGACTAGCATGCAAATACCTGAAATTGCAATAAACTTAGAGTGTTTTTGATATAACAGACTGAAATGTGTTGCTGTTGGCTTCGCAGTGAAGTTTGACGTGGTGTTTACACATCACCGGATTGTGTAAAGCGTGTCAGCTGCTGTTTTACGCACATGGTTGGATTCACAAGATACTGAAATATCACTGCTGAAGTGTGACATCACAGCTCACCGCAAATATTCATCAAATCACTGGCCCTGACAGTTAGTGTGCAATGAACGGAAAGATTTCCCACAGTGGTTACAGCAAACACAGCAATGCATCATTTCACTGCTGGGACAAAGAGTCACTTGCAGGCTGTTGTTTAGATCATCTTTGGCTGTGACTTCCAGAAAGCAGAGCGTTCAAATAAAGAAAGCTGAAGGTTAAAAGGCAAAAGTAATGTGAGGGTAGAGACTGGCACTCCATTAAAGGGAGATGAGGGAAACAAATGACGGTGTGTGTGTGTGTGTGTACAATATATCGCTTGGCTGTACAGAGACTGCAGGCTCATTTTGACATCCTCATAATAAAACGTTAGGAGAGAAAAATCACATTTGAAATGATATTTGAACTTTTAGTGTAGGCCTACTTGAAAAAGTGTAGGCCTATATATCTTAAAACGACAATGTACCTTTTATAGTGTGTGTTTTTAAATTGGGTTATAGGGTGAGCCTCATGAGAAAAATGGCCAAATCATAATTTCACATCAATATGTATTGCATGAAGTAAAAGCACAAGTGTCCTAAAAATTACATTTTAATTTTAAAATCATAAAAATCATATTTCAAATAAAAGTGGAATGGTCCATATTTTTTCATTGAATTTAATTTGAAAAATGACCTGCGCATTTCTTGATAGTTTTCATGAAATTCACCCTATTTGTCTTTTTGTTTAGGAGCAAATGTTTAAAATGTTAAAACCCCTGAAAATAAACTTTTGGTTAAGTAATTTGCATAAAAGGAATACACTAAATATAAAATATGATCAGTTTTGTATATAGGGTGTGAATATCACATTAGGGTTGATCTGGTGGACATTGCAGGACTCCCAAGAAAGTGAGGGCTCGCGATTCTCTCAAGAGTGCTTTGGGGAGCCAGCTATATTTGTCCTCCTTCCCTTAAATCTGTATCAGCAATGCACTTCAGACAGACAGACAAGAGCGTCAGGCCTCAACAGGACAGACATGCTCTGTACAGTGTTTGTACTAATCAAAACACAGTAGATAAATACTTATTGCTTAAACATTTCAGAGTACACACATCATTACTTAGAAAAAGACCGGTAAGGTAACAAAATGCTAAAAAAAGAGTCCAATATACTGTGATAGGGATTCATATAAAAAGATAACAGTTCAGAGTCCGTGTGAAGTTGAGTCCTTTCCGATGCCTGCGCGGCTGCGCCAATGCATTGGCAAAACAATGGCTGCTATTTTTGTTTATAAGGCCAAATGTGGTATAAACTGATGTGGTGATGGAGATGAGTGGATCTACATGTCGGCTTTGACAAAGGATGCAAACAAGCTGTCCTCTTGTTCCATGAGAATCTCTGGTTTTCCGTACTCCATGATGCTTCCCCTTTTCATCACAATAACTAGATCAGCCGTCAGGATAGTGTGGACACGATGCTGTGGAAAACAGGCACACTCAAGCAGATGTGTGCAAATGCATTTTGATTAAAACAACACCTTAGCTGTTGAAATTACGTTTAACTTATCCATTTTTGTTGCTCAAGTCACTGCAGGTTTCTGTAATCAGAGTAAAACATCAAGCTAAAAAAGCATCCCGACTTAATATATATATATTTTTTTATTATTTACAGACCCTGCTGTTAATAAGCCAGAGTGTTTTCTTAGGAGACCTATTTCATTGATATCTCTCAGGTGAGAGAATTTTATGTAATTTTCCCCCAAAAAAGGCTTGCATCTTATCTTTATTGTGGCTATTTATACTTTAAAAAAATATTTTTCATACCACAAGACTGTGTTGTAAGTGAACAGCAAAAGAGCTAAAAGGTTACTAAATATTGTGAAAAATAAATGACGACAAAATTACAATCTACACACTTTCATATACATTTTAACTTAAATTTAACCTTCATGTTAAAAAAATGCTAGTCAAATACTAGTCTGTCACATCTGTTTTAGGTTTTATTTCATGTTCATGTTTTCATGTCTTTTATTTTGAAATTCATCATAGTTGTGTTTCTTGTCATGTGATTCCCTGCTCCCTCATGTGTCTTGTTCTCATTGGTTTATGGTCTTGTCATGTGGTAGTTGTGTCTTTCCATTGGTTCATTGTCCTGATTGCTTTACAGTGTGTCTTGTTCGTCATTAGTCCATATAGACTTTATGACATCTTTAGAATTGTGTCTTTGAAATTCCGTTTTTGGGGTAACTGTATAATTCTATGGCATTGCTGTCGAAGAGTAATTGGCTGGTGAAGAGGATTTACTAGTAGAGTTAACTAGAGTCATGAGCATTGTAATGTTTAAAGTAGATGTCATAACAAATGTCAGTAGACTGGGAAGATTTTAAAACTCGCGGTTCATTCATAAATCCTTAAGATTTTACCTTCATGCTGTGGAAAATTGCTGTAACATTAAGTACCCAGCAGTAGCATTGCTACGTCTACTTTAGGCTACACGTTCCAGAAAGCTAGACAACAGACTATGGAAACAAGACACATGAGGTAAAAGGAACCAATCGGGACATGACATGTGAAGCAAAGGAAGCACATGAATATAATACATTTCAAATAAAAGTCATGAAAGTTTGAACATTGTTGTGATGTGACATAGTCAACCTGCTTTAGAATAGGGTTAGTGGCTGTGAGCTAAAATGTTCTAATAGGGCGCACACATAGGAAGCTCTTGGTTACCAACCAATGAACCAGTGCGTAGGTGCCAAGGGGGCGGAGCCTAATCACGGTTACTTGTGCGTCCGGACTAAGATGCTGAAGAGGCTGTCCTCCTGCGCCAAGAGGTTAGGAGCGCTGTCGCACTCTACCAGAATCCCAGAGGAAAACACCAGCACCTGCTCCGCCTCCAAGATGGAGGAAACCAGGTGCTGTGTCAGAGGAAGAGAGATGGGTGGACAAAGGAGAAGAAAGAGAGGGAAAAGGGGATGAGGGTGAGGAGAAGAAAATGTGAGGAAAGCGTAGCAAAAACAGCAGCAGAGAAGATCATGCATTTATTCAAAGCTCAATGTCGTTCTGTGGCACTTTAAAAACACTTTTTGCATTTTTTTACTGGATGCATTTTAAGTGACACAAACAGAGGCAGAAATACTTGTTTGTGTATCTGTGGCTCTGAATGACAGTTTAAAGTACAAATGTCAGACTACAGTGGCTGCAGGCTTATACTTATGATGCAATATGTTAATAGCAAGAGATTGATAGTAAACTGATTGTTAGAAGTAGAAGTCGAGACCAGAGAAAGGAGTTAATATGTCAAAGCCTGGCAAGCATTAACAGTCCTTATCCCTTTAAAGGTGTATTTCTGTATTGTTTTGAATATTTCTGTGTTTTCATATAGACCAGAAAACACCCCCCCCCCCCCCCCAAAAAAAAAAACAGGTTGATAAAGGGTAACTTACCGCTATGGTGACAACTGTCCGATCAGCAAATGCAGTCATCACCACTTTCTGAAGAATATTTTCCTGTTGAATTAGCCACAAAATAATTTTTAGTACCAAAAATGTGTTTTTTCAACGATATTCATGGATTCAAAATGTCTTAGAGTCAAGATGAAATCAAAATTGACCTTATTTACTTTGATACAATCCAATCAACTCACAATATTGTACTTGTGTTGAGATTTAAAAAAAAAATTATATATATATATATATATATATATATATAAATCCAAGTTAAACAAAACTCTATGGGGCGGTTTCCCAGATAGAGATTAAGCCTAGTCCTAGACTAAAATGGCCCTTTAAACCAGATTAACAGAAATCTGCTTTCTCTGTCATGGTTTTAAATAGTCCTAGATTTAGTTTAGTCCAGAGTTTAATAAACTGATTTCCTGGAGGAAGACTAGAGTTACTCCAGGACTAAATTGAGGCTTAAATTAAACCTACCAGGAGGCAGGTTTAACTTTAGATGAACTGTTTTAAAGAAGACGCATGGATTACTTGGACACACACGCACGCACACTAATATATCATTTAAACATTTAATTTGGTTTTAAAACCATTGTATCGGGTTTCTAGTTCAAATGTGATTGGTTCATGTTAAACTAACTCGAAATGGACGCTCTTTGACTTCACTTGATGTTTTCATTTTGAAAGATGTTTCAATCTAATAACTTGGGCTGCGTTCCAGTCCACTTTTAGACACGCACTTGCGAACTTCCCTAAGCACTTCCCCTCGGGGTAATCCCTGCCGCCATTTTGAAGTGCGTTCCACTTCGTGAAGTGGACGAGGGAAGATTTTTTTTTTTTTTTAATTTTGACCGAGGGAGCGAGTCTACTTCATATGTACACTTCAGGCAGCTCCTTAAACCACAATGCAACACGATTGTGACATCAACGCATATTGCGTTTAATTTACCCCACCACAAACAACTCTATGATATATTAATTATAAAAAAATAAAATAATTTGCAACGTAAGCAATGACGTACATCCGAGTGAACGAGGCGGAGGGAAGTTAGCGAGTGACGGGCATGACAATTTTGGACTGGAACGCAGCCCCAGTCATACAGGACTTTCACTTCCCATCATGCTTTGCACAGGGCTGAATTGGGAGAGTAAAATTTGAAATAAAGGGATATTTTATGCATTTTTTTTAGCAAGATTAGAAAACGGAGAGACTTATTAATGTTTAATGTTCTATTATGTTGGTATTTAAAAGTTTCTGTAATGTTAGTATTTTTGGGGGTTACCATTGTGGTGAAGTGTTGAGCCTGTGCTTGGATGAAGGACCTGCTACCAATGATTCTGATAATATTAATAATAAAGCAAAAACAATGGTAGTACTCTAGTTGAAATCAGTATTGCTTCTAGACTGCCAACACTGAACACCAGATGTATAAAGAAAAGTTAGAGTAAGTTTGTTATGTAAATCACAGGAATTAACAAGAAGCATTAATCATAGAGTTATTTGAATAATTCATTTTAAATCAAAACCATTCATTGTTAATGAACACCATTGACTCTGGTTGTACATCGTTGATTTTATATACCGTATATATATATATATATAGGAATAAAAGAAAGAAATGCTAGGAAATCTGTTTGTAATGATTATATATATATATATATATATATATATATAATGATTATATTTATATATATATATATATAAAAGTATATATATTAAGTAAAAATTATATATATATATTAAGTAAAAACAATAGCACTGACATATTTTAAGATATGTCAGTGCAAGTTCTTTCATTTAAAACGCCTCAAACATGCATTTTAGTCTGGGACTAGGCTTAACCCTTGTCTGTGAAACCGGGGGACAATTTTATAATTATGATGTAGTATATAATATAATTATGATTTATTAAAGCATGATTTTTTTCTTGTGTGGCAGAAACAGGCTTCCATAGATGTGGTTGTACCGTGGCCATGTCTATAGAAGCTGTCGCCTCGTCCATAATTAGGATGCTGCTTTTGCGAACAAAGGCCCGGGCAAGACAGAAAAGCTGTCTCTGTCCCACGCTGAAGTTCTCCCCTCCTTCTGTTACCACAGCATCTGGGAGAAGACATACAGATAGCATGATGCTTTACAGCTGTTTAGATTGACAAAATATCACTTTTCACTGAATAAAACTAAATGAAAAGGTCAGAATACTCCAGCTTTTCAATTTAACGAATTTCCAGTCAGCGTCAAAATTACGAGGTGACTGACATTATGATGTCAACCAATCCTGATAAGCATTGAACAGTTGGAAAGTATCATTCTTACCCAATCCTCCTGGGAGTGCTTTCACCATGTTCTTTAACTGGGCGATTTCAAGCGCTTCCCAAAGCCTGTCATCACTGCAAGTGCACTCGGGGTCAAGATTTAACCTAAAAATGCACATATGCACACATTCACATTTAGTTAACTCAAAATGAAATGAAAACTATCATCATATATTCATCCTCAGTAGCGGTTCGTTTTTACGTTTCGTTACTGAATGAACCCATGTTTTTGAATCGTTCTAATGAATGATGACTCACTCACTTCATTTGTAGTGTTATTAAGCAAGCAAGCTAAGGATGCATTAAACTGATCAAAAGTGACAGTAAATACATTTAGTGTTATTTTTTGTATTAATAAATAGAATAGAAATCTAATAAATTCTGTTGTTTTGAAATTTCTATACATCAATGAACCCTGGAAAAAAATTGATTATGGTTTTCATAAAAATATTAAGCATCACAACTGTTTTGAACATTGGTAATAATCAGAAATGTTTCCTGAGCATCAAATCAGCAGATTTCTGAAGGATCATGTGACTGGAGTAATGATGCTGAAAATTTAGCTTCGCCATCACAGGAATAAATTACATTTTAAGAATGTTCAAACATAGAAAACAGTTACTTTAAATTGTAATAATATCAAATAAAAAAAAATTTGGTTCAACTAAATGCAGCATTGGTGAGTATAAGAGATTGAGCCCAAGTTTTGAACAGTAGTGTACATGAACATGAATGAGATTGGAGAGCTTTTTAGGCACTCAACAACCCCAGTCACCATTCACTTTCATTGTATGGAAAAAAAAAAAGCAGCTTGAACATTCTTCAAAATATCTCTTTCCTTGTTCCACGTAAGAAAGATGTGGGATTGGAGCATCATCAGGTTGACTAAAATGTGACAGAATTAAATTTTTTGGATGAACTATCCCTTTAAATCAACAACAAACTCAGGGGTCATTGTGTTAATGCTCCCAAATGACCATAAGAGGCAATACTAATGAACCCATGTTCACATCCGTTTTAACACACTGGGAAATGGCTTCCAACCACAGCTTCTTCTTTTATGGCCTGCCTGTGTTTTCCAAAATTAAAATAAAGAAAAGATTTGCTGTACCAATAACTCGTACGCTCTGTCTCCTGGGCCCAATGATCCATTAGGCCTGCTTCATATAAACATTGTCATGACAACAGCTTGCCCAAAACCATTCCCAGATGACTTGTGATGGTGGTTCAGTTTTATTTTCTTTCTTATCCCATGGCGGCCTATTTAAACAAACCCCATATGCTCACTGTCTTCAGAAACAAACATGACACTTAGTATCCGTGAGAAGTTCAAACTAGCTTGGAGCTGAGGACTCACTGGTTGAATATCCAGTGATAGAAATACTTAACAGTGTTTAAAAAGAAACAAAATACTAAATGTATAAGAATGTATAGCTTATCCTGAAAACAGCATAATTATGCAATGCCAATAAAGTGGAATGGCCCCTATGTCACATTCCAGGGTTCCCTGTGTTTTGTAAATGATCTGTGTTTATACAGAACTTCTGATTAAAAATGTCAGGCAGGAAGTGAGTGTTTATTGTCCCTGGTCTTGTCTGTTTGGGTCAGTTTAGCCTCAGTGAGTGTGTGAGGTGCATGCGTTACGCAGATACAAATGTATCTGTGTGTCTGTTTGTATGTTTGAGCGAGCATGTTTGCGTGTGTTTACCGGATGGAGCCGCTAAACAGCACTGGATCCTGTAGGATGATTGACAGACGGGATCTCAGGGTTTGTAGTGGAAGCTTGCAGATGTCAATGCCATCAATAACAATCTTTCCTAATGCAAAAAACAAAACAAAAAAGATGATATACACAGGTTTTGAATTAGCTTATTTATTTATTATAATTTTAGTTTAGGTTTTAGTCATTTTTGTAACATGCTTGTAAAACTATTTTTAAACTAACTTTAATTTATTTTTATTGCAGTTTTAGTTTTAGTAATTTTTATTTTATATTGTTTTATTTTATTGCAGCCTTATTTTAATTAACAGAAATTATTTTTAATAGTTTTAGTTAACCATAACCACACTGGTTTATATTTTATATTTAGCTCATATGAATTAAGATATATTGAACATTTGTAAAATAAATTTGTTAAACGATCTAAAATGAATTTAAAAAGGGGGGGGGGGGGGGGGGGGGGGGGTGTGTGTGTGTGTGTGTGTGTGTTTAAAATTGTAAAAAGACATGGCGATCAGTTACAGCACATTAAACACTTTCCATTAAATATCAATATTAAGTGTTAGTCTATCTATATCCTTCAACAACCTAGATATTTAACACATCTAGCTTTATAAGATATAGCTATATTTAGCTCCTCACAAAATCTCAAACTAATCTCTAAATCTTTTTTCCTCTTCGCCTAATAAAGGATTGTTTTTTTATTAGTTTTGGGTGTTCAGGTCAGTTTACAGTAACTTGACTTTAATACATAGTGGTCTGTGAATATCCGAAGACCAAACAAGCTATTAAGATTTTCATTTTAGCTTTATATGGACACGGTGAAGAGAGGGTCTGTGTTCATGTGGACAAAGCTGCAAGAACTGTTTGATTTGGCTAAAGATTTATTTTGGCCAAGAGAAATATAAAGTTAATGCTGTGCACACTGGATAATATGATAAAACTCTTGGAGAAAATAACTGTGACTGTTAAATCTTGTGTTTTTGTTTTTCTTTATAATAAAAACAATACCCTAAAACTGATTCAATTAAAAATAAAACTAACTTTTTAGTCCTTTATCATTTTTTAATGTAGATGGAAAAACAATATTTTGCATTTACAAATGCATCAGTGAACATTGTACTAAATATACATAGCATGATTTATATAAAGTATTTTTTAAACACATTCTGTTTCATATTTTACAACAGATAAAGCAATCAACCAGGTTAGAAAAAAATACATCTGTCAATAATGACAGTAAGACTCAACAGATCTCTATGGTTAATGTCTAAATATGACATCATGGCTGCTTGTCAAAGTGACAGTAACCATATGGTAACAGAACAAACAACACGGGCAAAGAAAGAAATGTCTCTGGGCTTAGCAGCTGAGGACATTAAAATAGCTTTATCATAAAAGTCCATGGCTTTTCTTTCATATTTTCCTAACTCCTTTTTTATTCTCTCTTTTATCCTTATTTAGTCTCCCCAGCGGCGAGCTTGACATACATCTGAGCGCTGTAATTCTCAGTGAACCATAATATTGTATTAAATGGAGACTTGGAAGAAGACCTACCTTCGAAAACATCCACCATGTTGAAGAAGGCCAGAGACAGCGAAGACTTTCCACTGCCCGTTCTACCACAGATGCCCACCTGCGACAGTAAGAACAACATGTGAGAGCTTTATACAGCGTGACATTTTCAGATTGCTTTTGTATAAACACATTCAGGGCTGCTTCTCTCTGAAATTACACAAACTAGTGAGGACAATTTACAATTCCCATGTCACAATTAGAAGCCATCTGTGCTGTCGTACTCGTGTATTGTGAGCCAGGGCACCTCTAAAAAACAAGCTAGACTAATAAAGATATAAGCTGAGGAGGGAATTCTGAAAGATTCTGAATTCTGATGAGCTGAAAGATTTTGCTGCACCGTATAGTCGGTATTCAGGCAGAAAATAACTGTGCTTTGACAGCGCAACGAGAAAATTAACGCCACTGTGACACAACCACAACTGAGTGGTACAGTATGTGCTACAGCAGGTCGATCGGTATCAGGACCGCCGAGTGCTCTTTGACAGCTTCGGTTGGAGGAATAATTTCACTGTGACTTATTGGACCAATTAGCTTTTAGTTTTCATTTTAATTTTAGTTTAAGATGTAGTCAGTTTGTTCTGTGCTTTTGTCTTTTTTATTTATTAGTTTTGATATTTCTATTTAGCTTTCATTTATTCATGTTACGTTTTAGTAATGTTAGTAGTCTTTTTTAATAGCTTTAGTTTTAGTTAACAATAACAACACTGAATTATTGCTTGTTTCACCATCCTTGCCGATTCATTAAAGATGAATGACAAGATTAATGGAAATTAAAGAAAAAATTGCACAAAGTAATAAAAGGGGGGAAAGAATAACTTTTTTTTAGAGAGTTGTAAGTTGGTGTGTACCTTCTGCCCAGGGTTGATATGGGCATTGACGTGTTTGAGGACAGGTTTTAACAAGCAGTCGTAACGGACACACAGATCATGGATCTTTATTTCGCCATGCTGTGGCCAGTCTTCCGGTACCTGTGAGACATCTGAAATCACATAAAAACCAGAAGGAGAAGGATTGTGAGGTGGCCAACAATTTAAAGTGAATGAAAGGATTGGATCTGGATTTAGGTTACCATTCCATATATGCAATATTGATACCAGTCTCCTCATGCTATAACCATTAGAAGATCAAATATAGCAAAACTGACATATCTGACAGGTCATGTGATCTTGACATGGTGGCCATCATAAAGGATCCCCCTATATTGACCCCAACATTATGTAAACTAAAATAGCTTATCTGGGCCACCGAATGTGGCATAACTTTATGTTATGGGGGTACTTAAAGGACAAGTTCGGTATTTTACACTTAAAGCCCTGTTTTAAGATGGTTTCTGATGAAATAGAACGGTTAAGATTAAAATTTGGACACATGCTGCTGTCCCGAGAATTTTCGGTTTCTGTGGTTGCACCCCCCCCACCTCCACAATGGTTGCATAGGTGCACTGGAACAATCCTTCCTCAAACGCATTACAATTTAGTTTACAAAGACGTTAAACTCACTGAGTGGTCTGGGGTGTTCACTGATAAGCTCACACAAAAATCGCTGCAAAAGATGCTTTCCAACAGGTTTTATCGTAACGTTTTTGTCCAAGTTAAGTCAATGGAGTTGGACAAAAACTACGATAAAACCTGTAAATTCTCGGGACAGCAGCAGGTGTCCAAATTTTAATCTTAACCGTTCTATTTCATCAGAAACAATCTTAAAACAGGGCTTTAAGTGTAAAATACCGAACTTGTCCTTTAATGTAAACTTTATGTTAAAAGTACTGGGCTATTTATGTCTTTCGGAGTAACACCTTTTTAAGTGGGAAAAAATAAAACTTTATTGTGGTAACGCATGTTTTTGGATAGAATTTGGTTTACAGAAAGGTTAGCTACAGAATGTTCTTTTCTGCCCAGTCAGTGGATTAAGTGCCGCCACACATGACTTTATCTGAGGAGAGTGAAAGTAGACATAACACTGATACAGCAATGGCAACAAAAAACCCAGAACACTACAAGTGAGCACTTTAACAAGCTGCAATTAACACAGCTATATATGGTGTCCAAATGTCAAAGTTTTGTCACGTGACGACTACTATCCAACTCAGTTTTCCATTATGTCACTGACAAAGAGATGGAGAATGAGCTATTGTTTGCGGCTAACAGCGGCGCTAATGGGCTATTGCTAAAACTCATTTTTCTCAGGTCTTTCCTGCTTCGAGTGTTTTGATGTACTAAACATCTTTTCATGATGCTCTCAGTGGTTTGTGTCAGGTCACTCTGTCCTAATGCACTAAAATGTGAGGAAATGCACATGTAGCAGCGATCTGGCTGCCAGGAAGCCGTAAATATGTGCTTTGATCTAGTAGGTCTTCATTTAGAGACTAAATAAAACTCTGGATTATCATAAAAGTATTTCTAGTACAAAACTACTAAATGAGTCAGAAAAGGATTAATTACCCATGGATCCCTCATAGTTCTCAGATTCTGTGCTCAGGAAGCTGTTGACCTTCTTTACTGCAGCCATCTGGACCTCCAGGTCTGCCAGATTCCTCACCACCCAGTTCAGGTAGTTTGTCACCTTAACAAAAAGCACGTTGAGGACATTGACTGTTTTTTTTTTGTTTTTTTTTTTATCACTGAGATAAACCTGATGACCACTGTTGCATTCTAGAAATTCAGTAAAGCTGTGTTTAAACTCACAGTGAGGGCATAGGTTAGACCCAGTCCAACCAGACCAGACTGAGATGAGGTCCAGATAGCTGCCACTGCTGCAGTGAGGACAATCACAGCACCCAGATAATCCTGAGACGAAAATACAAATGGTATTATTTAGGTTTTTAAGATACCACAGATTTACTTGTTGATAGCAATATACTGTTAATTAGGGCTGTCAAGCGATTTACATTTTTTAATCAAATTAATTACACGATGTGGCAATTAATTCATCTAATTAATGGAAATTACCCCCAAAAGATAATTCAAAGTCATTATTGTGTAAAATGAGAAAATCGTCAAATAGACATTACAATAAGTAGCTTAAAAAAAAAACTTTTTCAACAAGGGTACTTCCAACCCGATCTCATGAGAAAACGTAACTATTTTATAAGATGGTGATTTCGCGTGGAATTCATATGATGCAATTCGTACGATTTAAAAAAAAAAAAGTATGCATGAAGCTCTGCCCCAAAACCTAACCCTCAGTGGGTGTAAGCAGATTGTACGAAAACCTAAGAATGGGATCATATGAATTCATTCGAATTATCTCGCCAACATGTAAAATAGTTACGAATTGTCTTGATATTGTTAATATTTCTACATCACGTAAACACTGCTTAAAGTTTTTTCAAGTTATAATTATTCAAGTAGTCTTTTTGTGTTGTGGTTTTTGTGTTCCGTTTTGTAATTTCCTTTCAGTTAAGACATGTTGAATGTGATTTAATTAATATAATTAACATAAATATATCGACAAGATGATGCAATATGACTGGTAGTGTTTTACTATCAACTTGCTACTTTTGACATTCCTAATATTTCTATCTTCATATCCACCACCTCTGAAATCTAAAAACTCAAGGCGATCATCAGCATGTGGCACATTACTTACAGTTCTGACCTCCAGCCACCGGTTGGCAGCAGAGAGAAATAGGTAGGCTGTGTTGTTGGTGTCAGTTAGCTCCAACATCCGCTGCTTAAAGCGAGCCTCATGCCTGGAAACAGAGACCTTTTACAATGTGAGTCAAAACCATTTAGTGCATGATAAAGAACCGTGACCTACTACAGCTAAACAGCAACTCAGCTGTGAAGGATGAGGTGTTCAATTAATTCATGTAAACACTCTGTAGACTTAACAGAGGAGATAAAAGCTTAATATTTGAATGTTTCTTTTCGGATTACTTTAAGTCAAGGATGGTTGAATGTTCACCATGTGTTTATAAGAAATGTCCTGGAGCCACTGAGACTGCATCAATTCTGCACGGCTGATATTGCACAAAAATGGTTTTGTATCATAAAGCCTCATTTAATTCTATTTTCACTCATATGCAACTGCTTAGTTCTGCATCCAGTCAGGGGAACAGAGAAAAAGAGAAAATGTGGGTTATTCAAACAGTGTGTGCTGTCAGAAAAGTCTAGATTCACTGACCTGAATGCTCGGATGGTGGTGAGGCCTTCTGCAGTCTCAGAGAAATGACAGAGAAGAGGCAGTTGAGTGGAGTCATCGAGATCTTGCAGATCTCTGAAGAGATATAGAGAGAGAGCCAATAGAGCTTAGTCGGGTTTTGGAAGTAAAAATGTCTTTCAAAATCTTCATAGAAAAACAAATTTTAGCGATTACTGTATAAACATTGCAAGACAGAACTATTATTATAACAGTTTCTAATATACTGGTGTTTATGAAGGGGTTTCCATTAGCCGCGTTTCCACTGCCAGGCTAGGGCCGGGCCAGGGCTAACAGCGAGCCGAGCCGAGCCAGTGGCCTCGGGCCTCAAGCACCGGGCTTGGGTTTCCACTGCCGGGCCAGTAGCCCAGCAGCGCTGCCCTAAACCCCGCCCCTAACACGCCTTTCTGGATCAAACGTCATACCAACCCAACCCATTTCAGCGGGTATTATGAATTTATTTATTTTTTAAGTTAGGAAGATAGTATGTAACGTTATATTAACTCACCGACCGTGGCTGCAATAGTGTCCCGATTGTCTCGCGAGTCGCCACTAACAGAGGGACGCAGCACACCGTCCATCAAGTCGATCCATGGAAAATCCCTTCTCTGAGCTCCGCTTTGTTCATTGTGCGTTTTAATCGCCTTGTACAATACTGCGCCCGCAATTTTTTTTTATTTTTTCCTGAACTTGAAGCGTTGCTCGCTGAACGCTTAGCTTAGAAAGTTCAGCATCGATGTATTTTATAACGTCCTCGTTTCTTCACACGCCGTCAAATTGACGTTGTACCCTTTCTTCTGCCCAAATGCTCAGAAGAGCTTTGGTATCTTCGACAGACCAGTACAGGCGATTCTCCATTTCGAGCATTGATTATTTTGCGCGATATAAAAAAGTGAAATGTGCATCTTGCTTCAAATCATAACATTCCATAACACTGATAAACTCCGCCTTTTACCTTGAGCACGCCTCTAGCCCGAGCTGGCCCGCTTTGGCCTAAGGTATTCGACGGGCCAGAAATCCTGGCCGTTGGCCCCGAGTAAGCCCCGATCAAGCCCCAGAAGTGACAGTGGAAACGCGACTGGCCCTGGCACGCACTAGCACGGCTCGGCCCTGGCCCGGCAGTGGAAACGCGGCTATTGTGGTGAAGTGTAGAGGATGTGCTTGGGTTGAGAGAACATGCTAACAAGAACGCAAGTTGCTTTAAAGATCTGTAGCGAAAGCCATTTTTTCCCATCTTGTGATGAACATCGGAGTGTAAAAAGGAAAAATTTGGAGCAGGGTTCTATATTAATAGATTGGATTTTGAGATGTGGGCGTTGCACTCAAAAAACGAATATGAGCTTGCTGTCGATTGTAAGAAAAGGACAGGGTTTAAATTAACTAAAGGATTGGAGAAGTCCATCATTCGTCACCAGAGAGAAGTCTGTCATTTTTGCCAGACCAAGTTATGACATTTTGATTAATGAACTTTATTCAATCAAGTTATTTTGACATGTCTAAGTTGAGTTGGGTTTAGTCAATTCAAGTTTATTCTATACAAAGTAGAGATAACATGTTTCCAACCTTTGGAACCACTGTCCATGACTGAATCAAAAGTATTCTTTTGAGTTAATTCATTGTTCAGTGAACTACTTACTTGGAAGCAACCCGAAAGTACTTCTGGATGAAGTAGAAGGCTACAGCGAGGGGCACCAGTGCGATGAGGAAAGCAGGGGTGACGAAAGCAATGACCCCAATTGCAGAGAGACAGAGTAGAGTGGAGCGAGTGAGAGACTCTAGTGTCGGGGGAATGTGCTGTGGAGATAGAACGAAAACGTCGCACATTAGCACACATACGCCATATTCCTCATCTCATTAATACAATAATGTTGACTACAGTAGCACGGAGATCACAAGTTTGTGTGGAAACCCAAGGCTCGTCTCAATAGGCTTAAAAATAAAGAGACGTACTTGACACTTCAAACAGATCTCTTTCTGTCCGTCTTTCTCTCACCTGATCGATGATGTTGGTGTCCGCTGAGAAACGGTTCAGGATTTGTCCAAGCGGGGTGACATCAAAGAATCTAACAATGGTGTAAAAGAACAATTTATAATGACATTCCTGGTTGAGTAGATATAAGATATTGTGTTCCCTTCAAATAACAGTAGGATTCATAATATTGAGTACCTGATGGGAGCATGAATGATCTTGTTGAGGAGGTCATGATGGAGGTTCGTAGCTGCAGCTACTCCAAGAAACTCTACAGTTAAGGAAGTGATAAGGCAGAGTGCTATCGCAGCCCCGCACAGGATAATAAACACTGGCACGTAGGAACGATGCTGTAAAACATGCAAAGAACTCCACTTTAGTATAACTACAAAGTAGTATATGAAAGACAACATTTCAAAGAGGAAACAGCAGTTGTGCGTCACCTCTGCGATCTGCGTGGCATCATAGTTCTTTGTGTAATTGGTTCCGTTGACAAAATAATCTGCAGGAATTTGGTTTGAGGACGTCCAAGCTGCTAGCCAATAGTCAATGGCCACCATAACTGAGTGCTTGGCCAACTTGGATGACACCATCAGGAAGACCATGAGGAAGCCACCTGAGGAAAGGTAACGGCAGCACATCTTCCATGGGATCTTAGAACGGCGGCTGGTGGTGGTGGACATGTTGTCGTCTTCATCCTCCTCCACCTCCTCCTCTATGGAATGGAAAAAGAAGGTGTCCAAGACAGGTTTTTCCAAATGGAAAAAGGTTGTGCTGAAATGTAAACATTTACCTTCATCCTCATCGTCAATCTGGTTCTTCGCCTCTCTGGAATAGAACGCTCTCCTCAGGGTCTTCCTCTCCAGAGTTGTCTGACTCTCCAGTTCGGTGTCCTAAAACAATGCAACAGAAATGCAACTTTTTCAAAACTGGTGTCTATTCAGTATTCATTTTTTACAGAATCTTTTGCCCAGATTTGTGCCCCAATTTGTAGTCTGAACAGTAGTCAACGGTGAAACTCTTAGCCAGTCTGCAGATTTTTGGATTTTGGGCAGCAGATTTAACCCAGCCTCTGTTGCTATTAAACACTGGTAGCAGAGCTGGGATTTAACGGTGAAGGACCTTTTCAAGCTCTTGGTCATGTCTGTTCATCAGGGTCTTCCAGTGCTCGTAGAGTTCCACATCATGAGTCTGGATATCCTTTAATGTCCCCTCTCTCAGCACTGAACCGTCCTTCATGGCTATTATCTACCAAACAGAGAAAGTAAGATAGAGTCTAAAGCCATTTGTTTTTGGTTATTGTCTTTACTCTAAAAGTAGGATGAAGTAATTCATATTTAATTCATTAAGCCATTCATTAAGTATCGTGAAGAACCAGCCTCAAAATATTCAAGATCATCAATCAGCAAAGCAGTTACCCAGTCAGCATGGATGAGGTACTGCAGCTTATGAGTGACCAAGACCAATGTCCGTTTGTCATCCTGAAGGAACTTGAGTATCCCCTCCTGCATCAGATGATCACTGAGGTGGATGTCCAGGGCAGAGAACGGGTCGTCCTATATGTAAGCAAACCCAAAACCAGGTTAACTCAAATTCAATTCAATATGAGACTGCAGAAACAGATCTAGACATTTAGGAACCCCTATTTAATGTAAGAAACCAGGGTTAATTCAGCTTTGCTTGATGTTTGTTTCAACTTGAGACAACATTACACTCTTAAAAATAAAGGTTCCAAAAGGGAATTTTCACAGCGATGCTATGGAAGAACTATTTTGAGTTCCCCAAAGAAGCTAAAGAGTTTTTTTTTTCCATAATAAAGAACCTTTCCATGGTCCCAAGGATGTTAAAGGTTCTTTATGGAACCATAGAGGCCAAAAAAGAACCTTTTTTAAGAGCGTAAATACTGAATTACCATCTCTGAAAATGATCAGTTCAGAAAGCCATTCAAAAGCAGAGAGCAACTATTTCAATAGTAATTAAATGCGCTTTATATTTGCTTAAATCACTTCCCGATTGACCCAAAATGACACTAAATCAACCCTATTGACTTTCTAGGATGTGAGACATAACGTCATTCCGAGGAATGGTAATTGGAATGGAATGAATTCATGATCCTGTCCAGAAGGGTGTGTAGTTATGTACAGTAATCCAATAACAGCCCTTACACTTAACTGTGTTTTCTGCTATTGCTGCCACAACGTACCCTGTGCTATCATGTGTCAATTAAGAATTCTCTTCTGGGAGTACCTCTGAAATTGAATTAAAAGCTGCGGTCATTCATAACATCTCAGACGTGTGACATATCACTTGTGGAGGGTGGAGGTAAGAAACTATCGGGAAGTTATCTGTATTGGAAAAGTTGGTTCCTACCAGGAAAACTATGTTGGTGTTCTGGTACAGAGCTCTGGCCACACAGATCCGTTGTCTCTGACCACCACTGAGATTAATACCCTGTAGGATTACAACACACAAGCACAATTTAAACACTTTTGATTCTGATCTGATGACATAGTGTAACATCATGGTAGTCTCAATAACAAGTTTTTATTTGATTAGTATCACAGCAGCTGAGGTCAGAGAGCTGGTCTCAAGCCCAGACACAGTGAGCTGTCCTTTCTTACCCGCTCTCCGATTTCAGTCTGGTCTCCAAAAGGAAGGAGGTCGATATCTGGTTGAAGCGAGCAGGCATCAATCACCGCTTTGTATCTGTTCGAGAGATTTAGAGTTAAAAAATATAAGAATGTTTCCTCAAAAACCAAAGGGTAGGAATCTTGAACATTAGATCTCGAGGGAGTGAAAATGAACAATGTCATGACCCGGAGTTTCCACAGAGAGTTTTATTATAGTTGAGGTCTAGCCCTGAACGCTGTAAAAAAACTAAAAATCAACAAAACGTCAGTGTAAGTGCTGACTGATTTAAAATCAAAGTGCTGTTAAGGCTAGAAGCCACAATGGCAAATTCACAAAAAAATTTCCGATCATTTTGACTTTAAAGCTTTGAAGTACTAGGCTTCCCTTGTATGTTTCTGATTAAAAAGGGATATTCGATGAGAAAAAAGAAAAATAGGACTTGATTTGATCTATTGGAGGTTAATTGGATGGTGAAAAGGAGGCATGCTGTATCAGAATGCTAAAACAGTTATGTAATGTTAGAGCATGGTTGCAGAATGGTTAAGGGGACATAAGAGGAATGTTGTGTCGTGCACAACTTAAAACAAATGTTCTAGTGATGCAAACAATGAAACTAATATCCCACATGGCCTAAGTGATGTAATTTAAAAGGAAAAGCAAGCTATTATTTTGATTAAAGAATTTATGACAGTTTGGGGAGAAATTTTGAGCCAAAATATGCACCAATGAATCATTCAAAATAAGACCATGCATTAAACAGTGTCAATTTCGATTTTATGCTGACTTTAATTTGAATGAATTTAGTCCTGATTAAATAGAGATGACAGAAATTATTGTAGCAAGTTAAATAGATAACAAAGAAGTTGTTCTAACATAATGGCATTTTCTACAGTGACATTTAGAGATTTTTGAGCTCACCTCTGTTTATTAAAAGGACTTCCAAACGTGATGTTTTCCTCTACGGTTGCGTTCAGCAGCCATGACTTCTGCGTTGCATAGGCCACGGAGTACCTGTTTTTACTGAGCCATGATAGGTCGAGAAAGAGAGGAAGAAGGAAAGAATTGATAAGCTGGAAATGTGGAAAAACACCCATCACAGCAAACACTAATGTTTCTGCTATGAAATGAAGGAAAAAACCTGGTTAATGATGAGATTAAAGCTTAAATGCAGGGAGACCTTCACTGTGAAAGCTGATGTGTGTTTTACAACATTTTCTCCTGTCCTTTCTTATTCAGAGACTGCAGTTTTAATCGCTACAAAACCAAAAAAGTAAAACACATGATCTCGAGAACAGCCTCTTATTTGACAAAACAGATCTGTTGTTCTTTCCATTGGAGGGGTCCAGCTTTAACTTACCCAAATATTGAATACAAAATCAATATCTGTACAAGAAACCCCCCAGTGTGTCCAAGAGAGGTGAAGACTCCCGACATTTTTAAACACTTTGCACTGCACATCTCACAAAAACAAACAACACCACCCATTTTATCGAAGCCAGAGAAATGTAAAGGAAGGGATTTGTAAATGAATGCATGGGGGGGGGGGGGGGGGGATGAGGGCACATCTGCTGAAAAAGTTCGCAAACAGGTGTACCTCCGATCTTCATGAGACAGCTCTGTATCGTGCCCGCTGCAAGTCGACATTATAGAACATCAACACTGCTAGTTAGCAGTTGGCAAACCAAGAATCTTTAGACTAGGCCATTTGAATTTGACTTTGGGTTATAGAGGTCACTGTGTGGCATGTAAGCATGTGAAGACCTCTGGTGAAATACCTTATGTTCCCATCGAAGAGTATCTCACAATCAGGCATCCTGATTTAGCGCACCATTGGGGAAGAGGACACAGAGAAACAAACACACACACACACGTGACCAGCGTTAGTTGTGCATCAGGACACATGCCGTTCTGTAAGAACACTGACAGACTCTCCTCATGACGTGGATAGCGAAGAGTGATATTTTGAACTATAACTGCTCTCCACAAACTTTAAGTTTTAGTAATATATAAGTATTATATTTTAAATGGAGAGCAATGTCATTGTCATTACAGAACCTGAAACTGGAAAACTCATTCATTGCACTGTTAGCAAAGACAGCAGCGCCTGACATACTGAGACTGAATTCACAACTTTGATCAAAACACAGTTTAATTCAATATTGTAAATTGTCTTAAAGTGCTCTTATTATACTTTTTTCAGTTATTACCTTTTATGTAGTGTGCTATATAGCTGTTTGTGAATGTAAAAGATCTGCAAAGTTAAAAGAAAGAACTGATTCTGAATGTCCTGAAACGAGTTGTCAGTAACTGCACGAACCTACGTAGGTTTGTAACAAATTTGCATAATGCCCGCAAATAGTATTCATTGGCTGCCCTCGAACAACGCCTACTTTGACCAGCCCTCAAACACTGTAGTTGTAGCTGAGGCCTGGAAGAGTTTGTTTTGTGCTGTCGACATGTCAAGAAGACGCTGTTTACTGCACTGCGAAATCAAAACCGCTTTCCATGCACTTCCAAAGGATGAGGAATAGGGCTCGAATTGATACAGTAAAACCAACTCCATCATTACTGTTCGTATAATTGTGTATACAAATCTCTGGAAGCCTCAGAGCTGAAATTCAGATACGGTAATGGCCGTTCTATTTCTGACATGCATGCTAAGCGACAGACTGTTCAATCTGACCAATCAGAGCAGAGTATCTCTCTGAAAGGAGGGGTTTAGGGAGACTGGATCCTTTGAACCGTTCGAAAAGAGGTGATGCTGCAATGTAAATATGAGAAAATTACAGGGTTGTGTTTTTTTTATTGTTTTTTTTTTACCTTGGATACATATAAACATATTGCACTAAATTAGGAACCTTTAAAATAGCATAATAGGGGCACTTTAACAAATTAGTTTTCCTCCATAGTATTGTGAACTGAATGCAATATAAACTGTACAATTACAGTGGCCCTGAAAAATAATTTTGTAATTGTCCATACAATAAAAGTCACTGGGGTTCAAAACAACTCTGGGCCCCATTAACTTTCATTGTATGGACATTTTTTAAAATATCTTCTTTTGTGTTCCACAGAAGAAATTTAAAAATGTTTGGATTGGAATGACATGAGGGTGAGTAAATGCTGACCGAATTCTCATTATTATAGAGAATTGTCATAATTATTTTACTGTAAGCCACACTTAAAATGTATGAATGACAAAAAAAATACAAGGACTACAAACTTAGGAATTTAAACAACTAAGATTTCCTCTGGTATTTTTGCTGTAATTATGACAACGCCTATTGTTTTCAAACTTTTTATTAACAGAAACCAATAGTGCTGATATATTAAATTAAATTTATCAACCACAATTCATATTGTGACTGCCAAGATTCTGATTCTGTATTTTCTTCAATAAAAACAATAGTTATCGAGAGGGGGAAAAATAATCTGATTTCAGTTTGCATCCTGGTTTTTATCATTTAAATTAAGTTGAAAACCACTGCATTAGTACCACCTATTTTATCCACTAAAAATAATATTTGGACCAGCTGGTTAAAAGTAATCGCAAAACAAAATGGCTCTGAAAACTTTGGTTAGTTATGAGAAAATGTTTTCAGATGCAAAAGCATTTAGATAGCATTTAGTTATCTAATGCAGTTCACATTTTAAAATGTGACTTACGTTAATATAATTTCGGAGCCACTGTAAATGTATATAAATATTTAGCATGTGGATCTGCTTGGCTTTGCTAACAAATGCTAATCAGAGACCATCCCCAGCATGGAGATGGAGATATTCACAGAAAGAAAAGCATTTCCCTTGTGTGCTGATAACGCAGAGGACAGAATGACACGTGGGAGAAAAAGACAGAAGAAAGATAGAAAAAATACACAGAGCCAGTGTAATGAGTAATGCATAGAGTAAGACACACATACACTAACACACAAGAGTAAGACGGTCCTCACACACAATCTGTGTATGTACACCATGGTACATACATCATAATGATAGCGGACGCGATTCACAGTGGGATATTTTTGTGCATGTGTGTTTGTACAGATGAAGACTTTGATTAGCATCAGATGAGTCTGGCATGCAGATGTCCTCCCCTGTTTTCTGCTACATAAACACAAACTTTCAACTGCTTTAGGGTGTCACAACAGGCAGGAATTTGGCCCTGTGAGTTTTAATGCCAGTCCATAATGTTCATAAACACTTCTGCAAAATAATACATGATAGTATTTTCAACAATAATTATGCAAATATTTTAATTCTCACTTGCTCCAGAAGACTTTTCCACTGATCGTCTGCATCTCCCCCAGCATAGCCAATAGCAGGGAGGATTTCCCACAACCCACCTGGCCCACAATCATGGTCAGCTGACCTGAAGAGGGAAACGAGATGAAGGTTAATCGAAGTTTTATATGAACAGGTTTTGCCCCTACGGACAGGTTTTATTGATGTTCACTGTCATTGGTAGATGCCCATCTGTTTTGTTGGAAAGCTAGTTAGTGCTCAGCTCAATATAACGAGGCTATAAAACCACTAAACCTGAGCCAATACATTATGTACTGAAAATTAGTATATTCAATAATTTGATTTATTTTTAGTTGGTGTAGGGCTACCTTTTAAACAAAAACCTATATAATAATATACAATAATAATATACCAATAATAATGAGCCATGTTGGATCATTTTAGTTTATATCACATTTTTATCACATTGTGATCTTCATTAATAGATCTAGTTCCTGGTAGATAAATAAGCAAATTAATAAACTATGTTAAACTTTAAGTGATAAATAAACAAATAAAGAAATAAATAAGCATTTTGAAGCTTTTGATATCTACGGTATGTATTTTTATATCACATTTTTATCACATTGTGATCTTCATTAATAGATCTAGTTCCTGGTAGATAAATAAGCAAATTAATAAACTATGTTAAACTTTAAGTGATAAATAAACAAATAAAGAAATAAATAAGCATTTTGAAGCTTTTGATATCTACGGTATGTATTTATGACATTTATATATTATTTGTTAAATAAATAAATAACACACTTTAGATATTTAAGAGTATTTATTTATATATGTATTATATTTACAGGTTATTTATTATAAATAAATAAATAAATAAATAAGCACTCTTGATATCTATGATATTTATTTATGATATTTATATATTATTTATTTAATAAATACATGCATAAATAAATGACAAGCACTTTAGATATTTAAGATTTTTTATATATGTATTTATTATATTTACAGGTGATTTATTATAAAAAACTAACAAGCACTCTAGATATCTAAGAGTATTTAAATGTATGTATTTATTTATTTATTATATTTATGTATGATTCGTTATAATATAACATAACATAACATAAAACATAATAAAAAAAGACAAAGCATTGATTGTAAATTAGTAGTAAATTAGTTGTAAACTGTGTGTACCTGTAGGGATTCGGATGTTGATATCCGACAACGTCGACAAGTTGCTTCCCCATGTGAAGAAACCATCATTTACCTGAATGAGACATGTGACAATAACAAATATAAACAGAGACCAAGGGGGTTAGCATGATGGAAAGAAACCAGCACAAAGCAGAACTCATGTGATATGATCTTTTCATCTCTGCGTGTACAAGCTACTTCTGTCTGAAGACATTTACATCTTCTGGATGTTTTCTGAATTCTATTTTCCAAATGTTTATTTATAATAATGATAACACTCCCATCCATCAGAGAAGCACAGAAGACCAGAACAGCATACTGGGAAATGGGAGAACGCCGAACAATCAAAAACATCTGTGAGAACAAGAGAGCGAGAGAGAGAAAGGGTAAAATGGGAGTAATGGTTGAGAATGACTGAAGTGAAGGAGTGTAAATGTCAGAGTAGATTAGGCCATATTCATAACAAAGTGAGTGGATGTGACAGTAGGTCACTGTGGGAGAATCCATGAGGATATGTGTTTATGTGTGTTTACTAGACTCGTTAGATAAGAACCAGCGACAAAAAAAAATACGGACACCAAATGATTCCATTACTTATTCATCCCAAAATCTGAACCGTTTAACACTTTTACAAAGCCCTCATTCTTACCTCATAAATATATGCATCAGAACTACTTTAGACTTAGAAGTCGTCATGGCATTCGCCGTCAGCCATGTATAAGAATCATCAATTAACTTTCAAATGTGATTTTATGTTATTATTTTTTAAGTGTAGTTACTAAGTTTAGGGTTATAAGAACTCTCTCCAGTTTTCCAGTCATTGTCCATTAATTGTTTATCAAAATTACAAAAAGAATCATTAATGCAGTTGTTAAGGAATCCGAATCATTAAGTCCAATCAGAATTACAACCAGAATCATTACATTCACAATTCCCACCGCTAGTCCAGAGGGATGGTGAAGGAAGTGGACCCTCCGGGGACCGAGAGACAGAGGCGAAACCAAAAAAAATAAACACTTAAATTAATGTTCTTCTGATTTTTTGTCCTGGTTTTTCTTCTCGTGAGAATCCCAAACTGCACTCAGAGGGAAGCTGAACCCAAACCACCATGTCTGAGAAACTGTCGCAAACCCCATATGGGGGGTTTTAAACCAGCTGAGAAAGGAAAGAAAATGCTCAGGAAAAAAAAACTGTGTCTGTGTGTGTGTTAAAAAAATGGGGTTTGAACACTTCCTCTAGCAGAGTAGGAGTAAAACAACCTATTGGCCGTGACTTAAAGGTTACTGGCATCTGGATGAGAACATGCAGACCCCGAGCTCTCTTAATGAACTTTCGCACGTGCTCTGCGAGCGAGAAGTGCCTGAGAATCAGTGCTGATGGGGTCTTTGGCGAGGAGAGTGACATCTGACCTGTACAGCGACATCTTCTGTCTCCGTGGGCCGCAGCTGCCTGCGCATGGGCTGCTCGTAGTTATCCATGCGATAGCGCCCCTTCCTGTTGATCGCCTTTGTCTATACCATGATAAAGAGAAAAAGAGAGATTAAGGGAAATCTTAAGGAAAAAGATTCACAAATATTTTTCATCTAAATTCCTTTTTAGGAGTCTGACAGCTCCTGGTCACTAGGAACTCCTGAACAGATTCTTCATTTGTGACGTGCATGCTGTATCATTTTGGATCAGAAAAAAAAATATTTTATTCTAAAATTCAAACAGTAAATGTCTTTTCAGAGCTCTTTAATGTGACAGATCGCCAGAAACATATAGTGCCATAATAAAACACATCACTAAAATGATAAATATAACAGTAAGTATATGCACTATAATATAATGAATTATATAAATTATTAATAATTAGGTTTATATTGTCTTTTTTTGTAATAGTCAATATATTCTCAACCTATTATTTATGTCTTAATTATTTAATGTATATTTAAATAAATGTCCTAATTCTGTCCAAAAAAAAAAAAGTTTGAGAATTGTTTAAAATCTTTTCCATTTTTTCCAAAATAAGATTCTATGACAGCCACCATTTAAATGATTATATCTTGAGAACGGTTCGGAGTAGAAACATAATAATTAAATAATTAGAAAGCATAAAACTCAAATGTGTTTTCTGGGTCAAAACGACCCATTTCTACTTCTGTGTTCCAGTGAAAAACTAACAGCGCACGGGTTTGCAAAAACATGAGGGTGGGTAAATAATGACAGAATTGTCATTTCGGGTCAGCAAACATCATATGACTATCAAAAGCTGCTGTCATGACCTAAAACTAGGACCATGAGTTCACGCTTGCATCTAGCCAAGTCATTTTCCCAGCTTAACACCATTTTCTCTCCTGGACCCCCTTCCTTCTTCTTCCTGTCACAGTATATATTTCCATCCTTAGACTTAATCTCTCGTTCCCTCCCTTTCCTTCACCCCTTGCTCCAGCTCTCCTCCTCTCAGGGGACGGGTAGTTATAGTCCTGTCTTATATTTGTCCTTCTCTCAGACTCAGAGAACAGCTGAGGGCCACTGCACTGACCAAAAAGAGAAGCTTCTCTTCAATGGTTTTATGAGATCTTAGCTATGCTGGCTGAGGAATGACCAGCTCCCGTTTCAGCCCTCTAAACGTGGGAAGTTGTCTCTTGAGACATGACCATGTGGAGTCTCATGTTTGATGTTATTGGAGGTCATAAAGAGTGTGATTATCTCAGTTTTTATCTATACTTTACAGACACAAATACAAGAAAATATTTGATGCCACAGTTGCTCTATTAAGAAAACCACCCCTGGTTAGTGAGAATCTCAACTGTTGAAATGATGTAATGGAATGTCAAAAATGGTGTTAAATTGTGTAGCTTGTTGAGGAGAAATGTACTATTATTTTTCTGAGCTTTAAAATTGAGGATTTTCAGCTGGCAGACAATAAAACGTGTAAAAAAAAATCCCCACAAACTTAAATTAAACCATTATTCAACCACACAGAAATGCCCTGGCAACTGCATTGCAACATGCTTAAACCACTGAAAACACCCCTGCATTTTCATCAGAAATTGTGAAAAAATTCAATTAAAGTATTCTACATTAAAATACATTGTAACATAATTTTAATTATTTTATTTTATTTGACTTTACTTTACTTTATTTTACTTTTAGCTCTTGCTAACCCAAATTGAGAACTTTGGCCACTTATTTTGTATGTTCTCAGTGTTTGGTGAAAAAAATCCAGTGAGATAATAAGTTATAAACATTAATATTAATTTGTTTCTCTTGTTCAGTTACAGGGCAGGGAAAGTCCCAGTTAATCAACATATCATTTTTCTCCCCTAAAACTGATCCAAGAACATTCTATCCATTTAGAAACTTCAGAAAAAGATATTCTGATGCCAAATATGTTCCAAAACGCTAAAGAATATAAAAATGAGATTATCACATTTGCAACCCAGCAAGTTTAGGTGCTCCTTCTTCTTGAAATTACTGGATTTCGCCCATAAATGTTGCTGAACAATGTTGCCGAACAAATGTGACCACACTTTTAAGGTGCAAATTTGCATGTGAACACTCACATCCCCTTGGTATTTGTATTTCTTTCCGACCTCTAGAGGCATGGACATATCTCCGTTTCTCCAGCTGTCATCTCCAATCTCGTCACTTTGCAGGAACTCGCTGAGCTTCTGTACACTGCAGATACAAATCAGATGATCATATCCTTACAGAGAAGCCAATATGAAGTAATGTTGGAGTTAGCAACATACCTAACAAGGGCCTTGACGGCAAACCTGACCACCGTGGACAACAGGAAGAGTGGCGTGACCAGAATGTGGAATAGAGCCAAAGAGGCAAACGCCTTAGCTGGACTGAGCCTGACCTCTTCAATATAGGCGTGTGTGACAAAGGTCTACAAAAACAAGATACAAGATAACGTATGGTCTACATGTTGGATAAAATACAACGGATTGAAGCCTGTAATGATGAATATCTTACCGCCAAAACTGCAGCAATGGGGATGGCGGCATTCAAAAATACTGTGGAGATAAAGAGGGACAGAACTATTTTTGCAGTCGTGAACAACAAACCAAAGAACCAAATTAGAACCAAATAGCCCTGATTCAGAAAGTTAAACAAATGAGAATATGGGTTGGGGTGGGGTAATAACAAGGGGAGGGGTTTATGCATGTGGGCGGGGCATATGATGGAAGGAGGAGCTTGTCATACTGGACATTGATGTGTAGAGGGCGAAAGTCTTGAGACTGGTCAGCTCTTTTCCACGGGTCTCTTCCACACGGTCACAGAAGATGTTCTCCCATGCATAGAGCTTCAGGAGCTTTATTCCTTTCAAGATCTCCGTCGTCTTTTTAAGACGGTCTGTCGAGTAGTCCTGAGGAAATATTTAGAAGTCACAGACATGAGCTTGTTGGTGTGTTGACAACACGCACATGCACAAAGGTGTAGGTGAAGCTCACCAGCGTGCTCTTCTGTGTGTCTGCCAACTTGGTAGCGATGAGGTACTGAACCGGGGCAAGCAGCAAAATGACACCGGCCCCTATCAACGCGCTGTCACCCAACAGATAATATAGCAGGATCACCCCCATAATGATCTAAGAACAGAAATTAGATGTTTTTTTTTTGTTTGGGGACAGAGATGCTCTTGATTTATCTGCTTCAGAAGTGTTTTCGCTATGAAATACCTGAACTGGCATGGCCCACAGGTTGGGGCATAAGAAGAGAAACCACATGAGCTGATTGGTTTCTATGGCAACAAGATTGTTGATCTGGCCGAGCGTCATCTCTCCCATGGACATGTTTGATGTAGAGAGACGCAGTATTTTATTGTAGATCATCGCCTAGAGGATGAGATCCAACGCGTGAATCGCAAAAAACTTTAATGTCATTTTTCTTGTTATTTTATCTTTATGTGATCATTTTTGTTAGCTTTTGGTTTGTTAGCTTAATTTTTTTTGAGTTTTAGTTTAAGTAATTTAAGTACTTCAACTTAAACTTCAAATAGAACTTTGAATAGTAATTTTTTTTTATCAATTTCAATTTATAATTTTTTACCAATTTCAATTTATTTGATTTCAACTTCATTCCAATTAACAAAAACTTTTAGTAGTTTTAGTTTTAGTTAACAATAACAACGCTGCCAGTAATAGAATAAGATAGAATAGGACAAAGTAGAATAGAATAGAATAGGACAAAGCCTAATAGAATAGAACAGAATAGAATAATTGGAAATATAATAGAAATGAACAGAATGATGTAGAATAGAATAGAATGAACTGAATAAAATTCAATAGAAGCTAGTAGAAAGAATAAAACAGACAAAATATTGGAATATTGAGTAGAAAAGAATAATGGGACAAAGAAGAGTAGATTTGACCAGGAAAATGCTAAATAAAATAGAATATAATTCACTTTCCTAGTAAGGTAATAATTTGTTTTATACAATATTTTTGTATTACACAATACAAATTGACATGAGCAGTACAGGCTGATGAATATGAAATAAATATAAATCTCTCTGACAGATCTCTCCATGTTTGACTTCCAGTAAACTCTACAAAACTTACAAGCAGTGCCCCGCGCAGGTTAATGCCGGTTTCTATTGTGACGTAGTAGGAGGCCTGCAGGAATGTTCTCTGCAGCACGAGTGCCAGGAACAGCAGAACAGCTAGAACCGACGTATTCTGCAGCAGCTCAGTGGAAGACATGAAGTAAACCCCGAAAGTCATGTTCCCTGTCTGACAGGATATAAACAGAGTATGAACACACACACATAATATACAACAACACTTTGGCATGTCAGCCCTCATGATGTCATACACAAGCACACACTAAAATAAAGAGAAGGAGTCACTTAAACAGTGTCGCTGGCAGCAACATGTGTGTGAGACAGTGTGATGTGAGTGGGGAATTTTCCATGTCACACAGATATGCACGTCTGTTTTGGCTTCATTTTGTCACTCACACACATATACAGTGACTCCAAAAAGTTTTTGGACATTTAAGACACACTGCATAAATGGCATTGCATTGAACACAAAATTTCGAAGCATCAGCATTTTTTTTCAAGAAAGATAGCAAAAAAAATTTTTTATCACAAAAATAGGCTTGTTAGGGTTCAAATTATAATTATATATTATGTATTTTAATTACAAATTATAATTATACATTATAAAATAACACATACACGGCTGTTCAAAATTTTGCGGCAGGTAAGATTATTAAATGTCTTTGAAGGAACTCTCGCTTACCAAATCTGCATTTATTTGTGTACAGTAAAACGGCAATTTTGTGAAATATTATTACAATTTAAAATAACTGTTTTCTATATTAATATATTAAAAATGTCAAATATTCCAGTGATGGCAAAGTGGAATTTTCAGAGGGCTTCAGTTACATGATCCTACAGAAATCATTCATTTGCTGATTTGGTGCTCAAGAAACATTTCTTATTATTATCAATGTTGAAAATGGTTGTACTGCTTAATATTTTTATAAATAGAAAAATCAATAGAACATAATTTTTTCAAATATACTTTTTTGTAAGAGTGTCTTTTTATCGGTTCAATGCGCCCTTGATTAATGATTTTTTTTCCCTTTTTTTTTTTTTTTTTGAACAGTAGTGTATGTATTGTTCAAAATTAAAACAAAAAGTATCTGGACACTTGTTTGCAGACACCATGACAAGACAAATGCAGTGATATCATCCATATGTAAACCTCATGAGAGTGTATTTTCAGGCGCACATGACATCATGGTCATCTGAGCAGGGAGAACACACTATGTGAAATCTAATAATTACTGACATCTCAAGGCGATAACATACAGTTCTCTCATTAATAGCACTGACGCCTCTGTGACATCACACAGGAAGTGATAAATGGCAAGGCAAAACAGAAGACATCAGACTGTAGATCATTCTCTACAATACTGTCACGTTGCACTCAGAAAAAATAAATACAGTCTAATTAGTAGCATAACCCATAGCCCAATATCTGCAGCAAATCATTTAATTGACAGTTATTTGAACAACATCCTAAATGATTTAACAAGGCACGTTACGAATGGCCTCCAAAGTAAATAAGTAAAGATAATATCATAGTGCTGTGAGACATATGATATATTTCCATTACATTAGTTGCGTAGTTGTCTTTTTCACTCCATTTCCCAGTTTTATCATCACTCCGGTATGTATTTGGGATTGACCATCGTTTTTACTCTCGAATTGCCCTGTTCGTATACAACAGCTTAAATGACTTGTATACTATCTGTGTGAAAAAATAACCAAAGCAAAAAATATTTTCTTTCTTAGTATTTTTGTCTTGTTTTCCAGTGCAAATGAAGATTGAGAGGCAAAATGACTTAAGATATTAAGCCGTGTTTTCTTAATTTTTTGGTAACACTTTTCTATGAAGCCCCATTAGTTTATAGATCAACTAACATTAACTGAGAAATACATTTGTTACAGTATGTATTCGTCTTTGTTAACGACCGTTACTTAATAAAAATACTGCATTGTTAGTTTATGCTTAACTCAGGTCCATTAAATATATTCACTTTAATTTAACTAAGATATAAATAAAAATAAAACTTCTTTGGCAAATTTATTGTTGTTGTTGTTTAGTTTTAACAGAAAACAAGACTGAATATCGTATCTATTTTTGCTTCTCGGGTAAATGTACAGTATTTTGAAATGGACCTTAGAATGTTTAGAAATTTGTACTGGAAAACAAGACAAAAGTTTTTTGACAAGAGTTTTCTATTCTCACTATACCTTGAATAGCGACAAGCACTCCAGAGTGGGACGAAACACACACCTTATTCGTCTTGTCAATCTCTGTTGAGTTATTCAGGTGTTCCACAATCCCAGAGATGCAGAGTGGCCCGGCAAAGCCCAGCAGGTCTGCCATGTACCGGAAGGTGCTGCTGAGGAGGATTGACCCCCCAAAGGCCCGGTACATGGATTTCCAGATGGATGGGGATTTTTCTGGGTCCTCTGTGTTCTGCTGTCAAAATTTGATAAGCAACGAGGTACTGGTTAACCAAGACTTCATTACTTCTGTATGTCATCAGATTATAAATGATAATATTTGCTGTTAAACCTGTGATCGTCTGCACATACCCTCTGTTCCTCATAGGAATCCTTCAGACGCAGATAGTTGGTCAAGGCCCTCATTGCGATAGGAAGTTTGCCAATCTTCTTCAGCTCAATGGGTCTCTTATGGGCTCCAATGATGAGCGGGTTCATCCACCAATATGTTGCCTTGGAGAGGAGGTTGACGAATGGCTGGAGGAATCGGACGCCCAAGTCCTGCAAGTCTTCTGGGGGCTTCACCCTCTGGGGGTTTGCAAAGAACACGTACTTCTGCAGGTAAGACAAAAATGAAAATACGAGTGGCTTGTTAGTACAATGTACAATTACTCACCTGTGTTTTGGATGTTGGATTTTGATTCCATGTTCACTTTTACTACTTTAACAGCTAGACTAACTTGGTCAACCAGAAAGGATGTTGGTCAAGCAGATTTGATGGTGAACAGCATGGCTAGACCAGCACAAACCAACTTGGACCAGTATACAAATCTGTGCCAGTCCAAGCTGTTTTTTTCAGCAGGTTAGCAACTCTTTTTACAATTATAAAACGGTCTACAATACACTTTTTTTGAACAATAATCTGCTTTAAATAAGTGGATCAAATTAGAGGCATATAGAAAAAAATAATTAATCTGCCTTAAATTAGTGGATAAAAAAGAAAAGAAAAGAAAATAATCTGCCTTAAATTAGTGGATCAAATAAAAGTAATATAGAAAAAATAATAAATTAAAATTAGTGGATCAAATAAGAGGCATATAGATATATAAATAAAATAAAATAAATTAAAATTCTGCCTTAAGTTAGTGGATGACAATTTAAATGAAATTAAATGAAATTAAATTAAATTAAATCAGTGAATTTTTTTTACATTTTTTTTAAAATTTAATATAATATAAAATTAAATTGAATTCTGCCCAAATTAGTGGATCAAATAAAAAATAAAATGAAATAAAATAAATATAAATAAAATAAAATAATGGATAGGGATATCAATAATAATGGAATAATGGAAATTAGTGGATAAAATAAAGGGAATATAGAAAAAAACAATAGAAATAAAATAAAATTTGTGGATCAAATTAGAGGCAAAAAAATACAATTAATAAAAAATAAGAAATAAATCAATTTGCCATGTGACCCTAGATGAACTCACTCTGACTCTGATAACGTTGATCTCGACAGCCATGAGCAGGCCGTACAGGACCACGAGCAAAGCTGTGATACAGAAACGGAGATGTTGCACCCCCAAGCTCGCCTCTGCAAACTTCCATAACTTTATCATCTTGGTGATGAAAGCCAGAATCCAGTAAATAAATAAAGCTGTGAAAGTATTTCTGAGGTTAGGTCTCATTCTCATACAGAATCCCACGGAAAAAAACTAAATTTGATAATAGCTAAAAATATGGATCGACCATTACATGTTGCCAAGCAACAGACAGAATGAAAGTGTTTTATGTAAATTAGAGGACCCGGACCAACTGTTGTAAGTTATGTAAATAATGAAACAACCACACTCAAAGAACAATTTAGTATTAACTGCCAGCATCACATTTGAATAGTGAAATGGCCATTGACTTACCAAGCAGCAGTTTGGGGAAATTGGCTGTTTCTATATTGTGATAATATACGACTGATGTCGTGGCCGCTATGAAGCCCATCAGCGCTGGCATGAAGAGGTGCAAGTGATTGGACTCCATCTGCCTGAAATACACATTCATACACAAAGACATAAACCTAAATGCATAGCGGTCGGTCATAAACACACAAATAAACGGAAACCCACGTATTGGAGACGATTCCCTCTGCGATCTCGCACACGTGCACAAACAGCAGTGTGAAGGTGAGGATCCAGCGCAGGTTGTGGCCTGGGAAGTGCAGCCAGGTGTTATGGTGGATCTGCACTTTTGAACTCTGGCTACCCCAGCCTGGACACAAAAACATGCTTTACATCACTTCAACATATCTTTATTTTCAAATGTATTATCTGAACCACATGTTGAGAGGCTGGCAGACATCAGAGACTTGTGAACATGTCTGGCAGCATGAAACTTGTTTTATAATTGTATCATTTTATTATTCCCGTGTGTATCTAATATAATATACAGTTAATAATTACTTTTTCCTAGACGTTTGTTAATCGGCACTTTGTATCCGTCTCCGCCTGTCTCGTTCATTCGTTGTTTTCCTTTCTTTGGCTAATAGTGTTATAATTCTTCTATAGGAAACATTTTTTCATTATGAGATAGGGTATAATGCTTACAGACCGAATGAGGAATGGCAGTGACACCATTACGGCGTCAGCGTAAAGCATTTTGCCAAGGTTTTAAGTAAAGGCTCTTAAGGGAACCGATACAGATAATGAATTGGCCCAAGTAGGTCTGATACCGTGTCTAGGTCCCACAGCTTCTGATGACATGACGGCTGTCATAAACAACCAGGGCGTCACAATTTAAGAATCGACTTCCTTGCAATTTGTGAGTTGGAATTGGAACTGAATTGGCTACACTCCAGAGGAAGTTGAATTGGAATGACAAGAACAGGATTTCTTATTACTGAACTGTAATACAAAGAAATTCACACATCACACAACAGGTGCTCAGTTTAAGCTTAATATTGTGTGGCTCTATATATACACCCACATTTACACACACATATGCACACACACACACACACACAATATTTTCCCCCCTGTTTAACCACACCTATATCTTACAATCCTTCTTAACGTCTTTAAGGATAATTTATTTGAAAATATAGTCTGTATTAAATTCTGAATGGAACCAAAAAATTCAGTTTCACAAACTGCAAAGCATGTGCATGGAAAAAGACAAGGGCATTCATACCAATGAAGAGGATAGGGAAGGTGATGAAGAGAAGAAATACATGAGGGACGAGGTTGAGGGCATCCACGAAGCAGCCGTTGTCCAGGACTCCATTGTCCACACTGTAGGCATTACTACCCCTGTCGTTCCCACAGAAAGACAAGGCCATGTCACCTGTGTCTAAATTAAAAAAAATAATAAGAAGAAAAAGTTGATTTCAAAAATTTTGATTTTCATTCAAAGAAGTTAAATGTAACCCCAAAAATAAGACATGTAATAAAAACAAATCAAGTGTGCATTTAACCTTACTTAGCTTTGAGCCCACTGACAGCACTGAAAGCTATATTATTGATTATGAGGTCTGGCATAGTATTTGATTACATTGATCCACTGCTACCAATCAGTTTAAGAGCAAGATTAACAAACACTGCAGTGCCTGTACCCATCAGCCATCTCATTTACCAAAAAAAGTTTCATTTCTCATTCAGGAGAGCTGCATTATACAACACAACAACCAGTAATGTTTGCTTGTGCGGAATATACTCTGGTAGATTGAAGATTGTATGCTGTATGTCCTCCGGTGACCCATCACAGTGTGTTTTTTTTCTGCAAAGGATTATTTTTGACAAACCTATTTTAATTATTTTAACATTTTTAAATTATATTAAAATATCTATATTCTGTTTACATTATATCATCATGATATCACATATATATGTATCACCACATTAGAGGAAATATATATTTTTTATTTATGTATATGTGGCTGAAATGATAGTTGTCTTTCATTTTAAATTGACACTTATCGGCATGTACGTGATCATTTTTTTATGGATATATTTATCAATATTAGAGGCATATAATGCTATATGCTGTGAAAGCATTCAATAATGCATAATTGTTTCTGCAACCAAAAGTATCCGATAAAAGGGGCTACCAAGAAAGAGAGTAGCATTCGGCTGGTCACGTGATCACAACACCAAGAGGCGAACCTCCATGTAAAATAAAAATGATTTTATTAAGCTACTGATATGTCAGGGCTCTTCACACCATAGTTTTATAACAATTACTTAGTGCAGATTTAATATACTCTAGGACTTAAAACTCATGTATGGTCTTCTATTATTATTATCTATTAATATTAACAAACTGTGCTACAGTGAGCAAATATGCATTGCTAGGTCTTGTTTGAGATGAAATGATGTGAATTACAAAGTAAATACCCATGGCAAGTGCATCAAATAGAATAGTCTCCTGTAACAAACTCATTCATACCCATCGCTTTACATCGCTTTCAAATCCTTCCACATGCTCATTGACAGCCTGACGTTGTCTTTTCTCAACTTTTAATTGGCATGAATATACATAAAATAGTAAAACCCACAGTGACAGTCATATATGATTATTAAACAATCACTTACCGGAGTTATTGCTCTGCTTTAGCAGCTTTTCATGCCCGTTGCCTGGTGTTAGAGAGAGTAATTCACAGGGAATATTATTTTTAGCAGCGGAGTATCAGCTGCTCATGGTCTCGCTCTCCCTCTTGCTCTTGGATCGTATTTCCAAACTTGAACAGGAATGTTGGCATGAATATGGACCGTCCTGAGAAAATAGAGATCGACTGTGACACTGTGGCTGCGTCTCAAAACCTTGCGAGATGCCTGCCTACACAGGGGTGATGCCCAAACGTGATGTCCAGGTAAGCAGAGGGAGAGGGGAAAACACAAGAGTTGAGACAGATAGTAATGTTTCAATTAGTGGCCGACCAAAAAGCGTTTTTTTTAAGAAAGAAAATGTATATTATATAAATGATAACAAATAAGATACAAAATTGATTGAATAAATAAATACTTATTTTACATTTTCAATATTTACTTAAAATTCTAATTATTCTGTGCATCTGTAGATGTCATGATGTAATTTAATAGGTTTAATATCAATTATTTAACAGAATTATTTTATTGTTGTTTTTTTTACACATAGGCTAATTTAAAAATGTAACAAAAAACATTAACATAAAAACAATTTATTAAGTTAAAAGAAAAACGTTTAATTTCTGATTAATTCCTAATGAATATTTTATTAAGTGAGTCCAACATGTCCATAAACAGTTACATTTTACAACCACATCCTGGCCAAGTACACCTTTTGCTCACTCTGTTTCCGGAATAGTGCTTCAGTCCCAGTTGTTTTCCCAGCATGCACAGGGGCATGAATGGTTATGGTAGCATCTTTGAATGTTTGCCAGTTTCTCATCATGTTTAGAATTTTCTTTTCTTGTGGATGTCATTGTTCTATTAATTTTTGACCCCAGGAGTGTTTATGTGCACATGCATTCTCCTATCCGTGAACATTATATAAAAAAGAGATACTTATTAATAAACAGTCAAAACATAAACAATAGCATAACTCTTTAAGATGATACAGTCTAATGTTTAGTTACTTTATTACAATTACAAATTGTTATAGTATCCTTTTTGCTCATTTTACATGATTCAATTTTAAGGAACTCAATTGATGTTACTTGCTCAATTATAGACATGTGTAATATCGTTCATAATTACCACGTTTTTGAGTAGGCTAAATACTGTACAGTGTCGTCTACTGTAATAGCTACACCGAAGTCACATGGCTGTTGCCTCGATAAAACAAGTTTACCTGACAAAGAAACTAAAGGAAATTTAATCTCGATTTAACCTTGTTCGGATGTTTTACAAAACGGCATATCTCTACATGAGCCCAGTGACAAATTCATGCAATTCGGTTAATGAAAACGACCGAGCGTCAAAATACAATTATAATGCAACGTAACAATAACATATCCATAAAAGGCCATTGCAAATAAGACCCAAGCAGTCAGCGTTATTCATCAACCTTTGAGATTTGAATGAATGAATTTAAGATGTAGGCTAATGCACCAAGGCTGCGGACACACTCACCTAGATGCCTCCGATTGTAGTTTTTGTCATCGACACTTGCCGTAAACCCTCTCCGACATCAGATAGACACTGAACCCGATGGTTGTTGTATCTCCGTGTCCTTTCGGTATTGAAGAAAGCGCGCATCAGGGCTTCGGCATAGCGTTGCTATGGCGTCAGATATAAAGGAGGGATGCCCGTGCACGAGCGTGTCTCCTCCTGATGTAGGTCACATTAAGAATAACGGGACCATACCTAAGATTCAGTGGCAGGTGCATAGCCTACTACTCAATAAACTAAAGAGGGTTTACTGGTGGCTTGGTAGCTAAAAGAAAGAGAAAATGTGGTACATTACGCCACATAATGATACGATGCATAATAATGATTTCATTCACTAGGGCCTGGGGGTGTGTAGATTTCGTGTATGGACCCAGGACCCAGTGGCAATAAAATCTAAAAACAGTCGTTCTGCATTGTATTCTCAAGGCAGTTTCCTCTTAGTTTGCTGCTTGCATTTATTTTAATGACCCTCCAAAATAGTAACCATATCAGCTCATGCGGTTTCTATTCCTCAGGGAAGAACAGTCTCGTGGGAGTTGTAGTTTTTTTATTCACGTTTGTAGTTTTACTACAAATTCTATCTATCTATCTATCTATCTATCTATCTATCTATCTATCTATCTATCTATCTATCTATCTATCTATCTATCTATCTATCTATCTATCTATCTATCTATCTATCTATCTATCTATCTATCTATCTATCTATCTATCTATCCATCTATCCATCTATCCATCTATCTATCTTCTTAAACATCCAACTATCACAAATAAAACAGCAACTAACTAATGAAAATATCTGATCAGAATCAGGGCAGTGAGAACTTTAACTGATTTGACTGGTTTCATATTTTATAATTCATTATTTTTTTGTCTCATTTACTTCCACAGCCACATTATTAATACCAAACCATATGGTTTGTGTTAATTTTAGAAAATAAGATGTGCGAAGTAAGTAGCACATGTGACAAATGTCACACAGATTTATAAACGTTGGTTTACTTTCCTTATAAATGAACTGAAAATATCATTAGATTAATCACAATAGTCTGTTACTTTTTTTAGGCTTTAGCAAAGCAAAATGAAAATGTTGACCACTGGGGTATGCCACTAGGTTGCATGTGCAAAATGTTAAGGATCTTCAAAGCCAATGATTGACTGATGTTGGGACTTCATGGGAAGCAGGACCTCTATTCCAGAGGGGCCGAACTCAAAGGTCACAGATGGTTTGGAGACGGAAGTGTGATGAGAACTGCTGCAGGGTGAATGTGCATGTATATGACTGAGGGAAGTGAGGGTGTGTGAGAGGTTGAAGAAGCGCTGGGTTTGTATGGGGATTATGGAAAGTGTTTGTGTGTGAGCGTGTGTGTGCAAACAGTCACTTCCCCTGTGTTTCCCTAGAGACCAGAAGGGATCAGTCCTAACCCAGCCTCTCCCCCACAGGAAGTAGTACAGGATGCAGCCCATGTGTGAGCCATCAAAGGCCCTGTGGTGACACCCAGAGCCTGGGACGAGGTGCTGTGACTGGGGACAGAGTGGTGCATTTGAGGCTGAAGGATTCTGGAGGCCAGGGGGTCAAACACAACTTCTTTGAGAAAGATTCAGTTTCCCATAACTAAGCTGAGAATCGGCAGTTTCCACACGTATGTGGTGTGCGTCATCAAATGAGACATTAAGCATAGAGACAATGAAGTTATTCCTATTTTCCACTTGAATCTGTGATCATTTCACTATAGCCTATCTAAAAAAGTATGTAGCCTATCGCAATGTTCAATTTGTGTTGTAAGAGTATGTCTTCTATTACAAATGTATTTAAATGTATTTTAGTTGAGCATCTTAGACCATGCATCAATAGACCAGCTTGGACCCACTAATTTTATGCTTGAACCAGTTAATTACCAGCTTGGAATAAACGGAGGAGCAGCATAGATCAGCTAATGACCAGATTAAACCAGCTAATGACCAGCTTGAACCAGCTTTAACCAGCTAATGACCAGCTTTAACCAACTAATGACCAGCTTGGACAAGCTGAGGACCAGCTTGGACCAGCTAATTACCAGCGTGGACTAGCTAATAAAGCTACTAATAATAACTAGCTTGAACTTGCTAATGACGAGTTTCAACCAGCTAGAAACCAGCTTCTATGTTCCAAAACAGCAAGATGGATTTTCCAACAGGCTTGACATTTTAAAAAAAATATTTCTGGGGAGAACCTATAACAGCACATGGAGAATCATAACCTCGGTGCTGACATTAATTCTGGACTGGGACATTGGGAGACCTTTATGAGAGGGACATCCACAGGAAATGAAGCTTATCTTTTATGTCTTAACTAAATACATGGAAAATGATGTCTTTCCTTGAGTTGCTTGTGAAATCAAAAAAAGAAAGTGTGGGTTTACTTCAGCTCTGTAACGCTTGAGCTGACTCAGTGTTGTTGTCACTTGGCTCAGTGTGCTGCGTTCCTTGAGGTGGCTAGAAAAGGACAGGAAGTCTTTTGCACGTCCCAACTAAGCATCATGCGTATTTATTAACTCAATAATCAACATAAATACAGAGAGACAGATGAAGGGGGAAGCTGAGAAAATGACAAGTGAAAGAGTAGGAACATGAAACTGCACCTCCATTAAATAAACAGTCTCTCTCCCTCGCTCTATGTGTAAACTGTCACGGTACCGTTAAGATACTTTCACATAAACAGCTCTATACAATAAACAGACCCAGACTGCAATGTTAGTTTAAACCATGATTAAACACTTGCACTTGCTAACATAGATACTTTCCTTTACTGTGTGTTAGCATGGGGGCTAAATGCTAGCATTTTCCTCAAACTGCACCTTTTGGTTTTCTGAGACAGAATTGTGGAAAAGAGAATGGATAGTCCATAGAAATAGAAGGGAAGACCAATGTGTTTGTTTGTATCTGCCAGATGCTAGACCACTCAGGTGCACCTATGCTAGCCTAAGGTACCCTACACTGTAAACCCGAATAAGTTGGCACAACTCAAAAAATTTAAGGCAATAAATTGCCTCAAATTTTTTAAGTTAAGAAATTCAAAAAGTTTAAGTAAGCAGAACTGACATATTTTTATTTTGTGTTTGTACATTTGAATTGTTCTTAACTTGAAATGTTTGAGTACACTAATTCATACATTTAACTTAAAATTTCATGTAATCTCAATTTGAACACTTTTATTAGTATAAACTTAGCTAGCTTTAACAAGCTAGTTTGCTAACATACTATTTTGTTAACTTCTTAACAATAGTATGCTATACAGTAACACTTGCAGCAATATAAAGGTTTTATTTGCTCTCAAATCAAGCTCATGCACCACTTGTCACCATGATGGTAACTATCCTAAAACCAACATTAACAGAAATTCTTCTAAATTAGCATAACGAAACATTAATCATTACTAAATCACCCGTTTAACATTAATATTGCACAAAAAAACATTGTATTACACTTAATTTTAGCATTTACTCTCCCTTTCGAGTGCCATCGGCAAAGCATGCTGGGAAATATACATCCCAGCCGTTTCAGTTAAACTTAAGTTCGTCTAAATTAAAAGAAATAATTTCATAAAACTCAAAACAATGAAACAGTTCAGTTTACTTCAAATATATCCATTCTGTGAACTTGAAAGAAAAAGAAAGTGCTAAATACTCATAAAAGTTAATTTGACTGAACTAATTAGTTTAATTTAAGTTTGTCCTACTCAAACCAATTAAGTATTTTGAGCGTTAGGGTTTACAGTGTAATTGTAGGCAGCTCAAGTGCTTCATGTAGCCTAATTCATTGGATTTTGGAAGTTTTGTTTTATTTTTAAGATTTTTTGTTCAAAGACTTACAGAATGACATTAATGATTATAGACTAGATCTCCTTTTCTTTGGCATTCATGACAAATTAAAAATTACAATATACTGTCACCTAGTGGTTTGACACTCAAAGTACACTTTGTTGCAAACAACATATTTAAGGCAATAATCAAGTAAAAATATATAAATATAATACAAACTATAGTTACATAAGTATAAGTAAGTAATTATAATTATTAAAATCTATGCAATCTGTTAGCAAAAAAATACCCCAAGTTTAAGTAACAAGTTTTAAGTTTATGTTGTTCATCTAATAATTATATTTTATTTTATTTAAGCTTAATTTCAAATTTAAGTGATTTAAAGTGATTGAATAACTTTAAATGATTTTGTTTAGTTTTAGTGAACAAAAACAACACTAATTCCAAACCCTTCTCTGCTTACTCGGCTCATGGACTCAAGTGCTTCTAGAGTGATGGATACACCAAGGTTGCTTTTAATTAGCAGCGAGACAAAAAAGTGAGTTTCAAAAAGTGCAATCATTTCCTCTCAAATAAACAATGTTCTTGTTAGCTGGTTATTCCACAGCCAAAGCAATTTGTTATCCTGGGGACAGCAGCACAACCCCATTATGATTTTTTATATATATATTTATTTTCAACTTCTGAAGGTTATCTGGAAGAGCATTGCCCCAATTACAATTTCAGAACTTCCTATTGAATTGTTCTGCTCTATGAAGCCTATTATTTGATACCAACCAGCCATAAACCACAGAAATGGATGAATCTGATGTAATCACATGCTGATGCAATAGATTATAGAAATCAAGTTTCAATCCTTAGAACAAACAAAGAGATTCCTGTTGTGTTGTGTGTGTGTGCGTGTGTGTGTGTGTGTGTGTGTGTGTGTGTGTGAGCAACACTCCAGGCAATTAATCAATCAAAGCTTAATTTTTGAAAGCCAAGAATGGATCTGGCTCCTGAAAGAGCTGCAAAGGAATTCTTTTAATAATTGTCTTTTGAAGATTTGCATTGTTTGCATTGGGAATAATCTTGGAATCTGATCAACCACACTGGACACACTGGCACAGTGTCTCTCTTCAAAAAGCTGCTCTCAGTCTTCATTAGTGGCTTCATTAGCGTTCTCACATCTCTGAGCACTTGTAATCAGGTTGATGATTTGAACTGGGTATTTCACGGCTCAAGTTGCCAACTGAAAGAATGATCGATTGAGTTGTATTTATTTTTTGAAGAAAAAAAAATCGATTATGTTGTCTTTATTTTTAGTAAAATATTTAAACAAGATATAAAATAATTGTCTGTAAAAGCACAATTTGTCAAACATTTTACAATTTGTTTTACTTATTTTAATTAACCA